TGTCCATTTTAGGTGGTCTCGGCACCACTGTAGTCTCGTCAAAGCATTCTGCACTGAAACTAACGGTTTTGGAATAGTTACTCTGCCATGAATGTTAGCAGCATGCAACTCCCGTTGAATAGTTTCCATGGATACAGGGTTCTGAAGGTGGGTATTCATCTCGGATATTATCACCGGCAGTGTAGTCTTGCGTTTTCGAGCGACTATCCTCTTCAACACCCGTCTATCACGGTCTGACAACTTCGACTTCCTGCCGCTGTTGTGCCTCGCCGAAGACACCTTACCCAACTTTGTGTATGCCGACAGAGTCCTTGATACAGTGGTCCTTGAAACACCTACAAGGTTCGCTGTTCTGGACACGGACGCTCCAATTATCATGCCTCTTTTAAGGTCAGAGAGGTCGGACATAATCTCGTTTTGCTAGAAACAGATTTTTCCCATACAAATCTCACACTGCCAAATGCTAGACAGATACCTTGCCTTTCATCACCACTAGGTGGCACATTCTTGCGACACGTGCCCGTCGCTTATTGGACGGTCGAGAACGACTCCATTCTTTCACAGGTGTTCCTATTATTTTGTCCTATACCTGTACATGTATATTTATCAAGGCATGAAAATGCAGTAATATACAAAATAGTAATTTCTGGCACTTCAGTATTTAGAATTTCCAATGCATTCCAGATAGTTGAGCTTTTATTATATTTTTGGTTATGGAGTATAAAACTATTTGAAAACAATTATAGGGTTCCCACTCTTTTAGCAAAGCAAAAACTAAGGACTTTTAAGCACCTTTTTTTGAAAAAATTAAGGACCTTAAAAATAGTAAGATTGCTTATCATCGAATATACATATGCAGTCAGTGACAATGTCAATTATTTACCTTTTTTAAAAAAGATATTTAAAAAGTTATAAAAAATTATATATTTATATTCAATAAAAAATTATAAAAAACAATTTTATTACAATGCAAGTACCAATATAATTGTATTAATTAACAGGGTTCGCCAAAGTAGGAACAGGCAACTTTTGCCTACCCAGGTAGGGTCTTTTGTAAAAATATTTTCAGATTGTTAAGAGTTAACGACATGTCTGAAACTAATCGCATTCCATTTTCAATGATTTCATTAAAATTAAATTGTAAAATTAAAGTGCAGAAATTAAGATTCACTTTTTTTTTCATATTTGGAAAAAACATTGAAAAAATTATTAGAACAAGTTTTTATATTTTACTGTATCACAATTTCAATCGTGAGTAATTTTGCTTAATATTCAGTTATGCCAAAAAAATTCTTTCTTTTCTATTAATAGAATGTTACATGGGTAAATATTAAAAGATTTAATACTAAAAAGTTCAATTAGAGTTACGCATGAAAGTAGTTTTCATTAAGTCCTATTTCAAATAAATACAGGCCCTATTAATATCTAAGCACCTTAAATCATTCCATTAGGCTTTTAATTTCATTGCAATCAATATTTTATAAACAAATTTTATAAAATAAAAATACTATTATGCTTGAGAAGATTTGTAATTTTTAAACCAATATGCTTTTTATATTAGTTTTCGGTGGAATCTATAAATAAAAGGGTCAAAATGTTTTTCAAAGTTATCAACACATTCCTATGGCCAGAAAATTGGTAAGGTTTCTTAATTAATAAATACTGATAAACTATTTATTTTTTCATTATTTACAGACATTTATTTGTAATATTTCTTTAGCATCCTCTATCATTCTTAATATTATTCTCTACTATTATTATGATTTGATATTTTATTTTTATTCTAAATTGACAGTTTAAAACTGAAAGTGGTATTCCTTTATTATTAAGTAATCCGGTAATATCACCTTATCAGGTAATGTTTGTAAAAACAAGATTGAAAAGTTTGTAAAAACAAGATTGAAAAGTTTGGAAAAACATATTGAAAACAGTATGTAACTTAACAATTTTAAAATTATTACTAAACAGCAAATTACTTTTATTATGAGCTTTACATAAAATTATTTTCAGCCAAAACTGTTAATAAGAAATTAAGAATTAACTTTACATAATATTACAAAACAATCTAGCAAGAAACATGGACTAATTTTAAAGCAACCAAAAATTTGAAGAATTTTTTAAAAAAGGATATTAAGTTGCAATGTTAATTGAACAATGATTAAAAAAATCTAAATTTAAATCTAATAGACATAACAAAAAGTTTGGGATCCTTTAATTGAGCAGATTTAAATTTTTGTGTAAAAATCTGCTTAGTTTTCATTGTGGATTCTAGTTCAAACATTTTTTCTGATACTTCTTATCTTTGGGCTTTATGTTGTTCTTATAAGCACATGCGCTACCAGTAAAACCGAATTTCTTGAATTCTGTTGATTTTAAAGGTTAATGTGGGTCTTCTACTTAGAACTAACTGTCCCCCCCCCCACAAAAAATGGCAAGATTCCATGTGCAGTATCCCCCTTGTCTACACACTATTATTTTATTTTGGAATGCTTCACTCTCCTCATAGAGTATCATTCTAAGCAATAGGAATAAGATATTAATGAAAAGACATGTTTTCATGCCTCTAGCTCCCTCACACACATTCTTTCTAGTCTCTCTAAAATATTCTACTCTTGAAGCATGGTCAAATTCTAGATGACAAAAGAACGACTTTATGTTATAAATATTTGTAAGACCGAAAAATTGTTCCTGTCAACTATAGTGATGTTGAAAAATCAAGTACTTTTAAAAACCTTGTACCAAAATTAAATACAATAGAGAAGCATTTATCCGGTATCCAGATAACCGGGAGAAATATTGTTCGGTTTACCCGCCATTTTAAACTAAAACGATTATGAAAAAAAAGCTGAAATTGGACTCATCCTTCGAAGTTGAGTAGTGGAAAATGCGAGGAAGGGGAGAATTCTTTTTCCCGTTTACCCAGAGAAATGTCATTTCTTCCGTGACCTTGAAGATCTTTAGATCGAGAGGAGGCAGGGAAGGGACAAATGTTTTATTTTCTCCTTTAGGCCGTCAATTGAACTCAAAGGAGTGGCATGCTGATTTCGTTTTCTCTTTGATTTAGGAGGGGGTGGGGAAAATGCATTGCACATGCATATCAGAGAACAGATGATGAAAGAGAAAAATATATTTATCCATTTGACATCGCTTAATAAAAATAAAATATTTTCCTTTTGAATAAATTCTGATTCTTTGGAAGTGAGGGTATCATTTGCAAATTTTTCTTGATGTGGAATCACATCTGCTTAAATTAAAAATCAGGCTTTTATAAAAATAAAATAAAAGGAGAATTGTTTATTAATTTAAACATTCGATTATTTTATGAAGTAGATTGCAGTTTTGTTTTTCTGATTCCACTATGTTTGATTTTTTCTTTTTCTTTTCACGATAAATTTCGCACTCAATAAATTTTTTTTATTCATAAATTTAATCATTAGTTTTTTTTTTTTTTAAGTAGGTTGATCTTGCCTTGTTCTGGGTTTTAATATTTATGCTAGTGCCTTTTAAAACTATTGTTTCGGTTTGATAATTTTCAAGCGTTGTTTTTATTTAGATTAATAGCTCTTATTAATCGTTCCCCCCCTACAATTACGTATGAAATATATTGCGTTATTTAACCATTGGTTTTGTTTATATTAGGGCAATTACACGAAAGTGTCAACTTTTAAGTGAATTTTTTTTTTTTATGAATTGCATATTTTAATTTTAAAAATATGTTCAAAAATAGCCAAAGTCTACATATTACTGTTTAATTTTTGATAATTATAAGTTTTTTGAATCTGGCAGCATTCTAAAGTAATGACAAGTGAATTCTTCACATTTGTGCTCAAATTGTTTTCTTGAAAAATATTTATAAAATAAAAGAAATGCATCTTTCTTTTGCAATATTTTGATAAAAATATGCATATAGTACAAAATTTAAACATTTAAAACATAGCCTTTAAGTCATTTTAAGTTTAATATATTAAATAAAAGTAACTTTTTTTTGTGTCATTCCGTCACATGTTTTAGTATATTTTTTTAAATAGCAACTGCGTTTTTGAATGAAAACTGTGGTGAGGTTTTNACATTCGATTATTTTATGAAGTAGATTGCAGTTTTGTTTTTCTGATTCCACTATGTTTGATTTTTTCTTTTTCTTTTCACGATAAATTTCGCACTCAATAAATTTTTTTTATTCATAAATTTAATCATTAGTTTTTTTTTTTTTTAAGTAGGTTGATCTTGCCTTGTTCTGGGTTTTAATATTTATGCTAGTGCCTTTTAAAACTATTGTTTCGGTTTGATAATTTTCAAGCGTTGTTTTTATTTAGATTAATAGCTCTTATTAATCGTTCCCCCCCTACAATTACGTATGAAATATATTGCGTTATTTAACCATTGGTTTTATTTATATTAGTTAATTTATGAATTGTAATTATTTTCAAAAAATAAGTGAGAATTTATTATTTTTTAAACTTGTTTTTCTTGTCTAAACTTGCAATTTTTTTTATTCTTTTAAAGGTTATTTTTTTAAGATATTTTATTTTTTTTTAAATTTAGGAGTGCTTTTCTTTTTCTTCATACTTTAAAAATTGATAAACTTTTTCCTTATAATTCGGTTTTGATAAAACATCGATTAATGACACTTTTTCGTCAATCCAGAAAACCGGGAAATTCAGACATCCGGGATAGCGATGATCCCGGATAATTGGTTCTCTACTGTACTTTTAATGGCCCTTATTTTCCAAAATAAAAATTAAGCACTTTTTAAGAACTTTTAAGGACTTTGATACAATGAATCACAGTAAATTCAGATTTGAAAATTGTAGGGTAGGGAAATAATTAAGTTCATCTTTTTTTAAATCCATCATTTATCTTAATCTAACTACTTACTCTTTATGTTCGTATTTTTTTACTTGGAATATTAGGAAAAATATTTTAGAAGAAAAAGTGAATCTGTTTCTTACTAAATCTACATTGCTTATTACAAAAAGCAACTGAAGTAACAAAAATGATACCTTGATCCAAACTAGCAATGCTTGAAACTTCATGGCTATCAAGAACAGATTCGTCTTCATCAGTCACGCGTCGTCTGTCATTTCGAATTCTCTGACGAGGAGGCAAATCTGAATTTCGATCAATGCGTTCTTGGAATTGTCGATGACCTATAATTGTAAGGAATATGTATCAAAATTGTGCTTATTGTATATTCTGATTGGAATGACAGTTACTTCTGACATTATACTTAAAAAAAAAAGGATTGATTAAAAATGAGGACAATAAGATTGAAAAAAAAAACCTTTCATAAGAAAACCATGATTCTTATAAAAATTCTGAAAAAACACTGTTGAACTCTTTTAATGATGTCTACATAAGATATTGATAAGTAAAAGCTTTTTTTTTTGCAGAGCTAAATTAATAACAAAAAATCATTAAAGTGAATGGAACAATAACTGATCAATTTTTTACAAAAACACCCATTAAAATACCTTAAAAGAAATTTGGTAAAAATTTATTGCTAACAAAAGCTAATTAATTAAAATACTTGTTTACACTAATCTATTCCGACATTTACAATTAAGGGAAAAAAGTACCACAAAATGGCATTTTATTAGATAAAATTTAGAACACTGACAATCTGAATTTTAAAAACATATCTAACAAGTTGTGATGGCTGATTGAATAGAGATGACAAGCTGACTTCTGAAATAATCTGTCATCATTTAATGGATAAATTTCAGAATAATTGATTTGAGTAGTTTCAAACAATCAAAAATTTAAAGTTAATGGAATAGGAAATTGAACATAAAGGTAAACGGCTTACAAAAAAAATTCACTTTAAGGTTTATTTGCTAAAATTGTTTGTTATGCGGTCTGGAAAATATGTTTTTGAAGTCCACACAAAATAAATTGCAGAACTAAGTGCACTTTAAAAAGGAGTAATGAATGGAACAGTTCTCCCTATTACAATTAAGTTTAAACACATCAATGTGTCAAAAATTTCTACCTTCACATTACAGAACATATTCTTACTTTTTAAAAACACTTATTCAAATTTTAATATATATATCTTTACTGAGAACAATGAAAAAATATTAGTTTGAATAAAAAAAGAAAAGAATAGGAATGAAACATTGATGATTTAATTATTTGGATTTAATGAAAAATATTGAAATTTTATCACTCTGAAAGGTAACTGAATCAAAAAAACCGCCAAATTCTACACGCTTTTACAAAATTTTGAATTTTATATGTAATTCTAGCCATAAACTAGACAAATGAAAAGCCATTTTTGAATTATCCTACTGAACAAGGTTTTACAGAGAATATTTAAGAATGTAATTGAATGATACATTAAATACACAGGCGATAAGCCAGATAAACTAATGTAGTGCTTTGAACCTTGATTATTGGGATATCTGTTATCTGCACCACTCCATCGACGATTAGGACCCCCTCCACGACCCCTACCTCGTGGAAGGTTATTTTTATTTGGACCACCATCTCTATCAACATAAGATCGGTCATAAGCACCTCTCCTAGGAATTGGGTAATTAGGAACAGAACCAACTTGACTTCTTAATTGTTGATCAATTTCCAGTTTATCCTGACGCAATTTTTCCACTTCCTGAAAAAAAAATTACTATTGGAACATTTAAACTAGCATCAAGTAATAAAAAATTACTGCTATGTAATTAAATGACTGGCTCTGCACTGAAATATGAAAAAAAAATTATCAGCCAATATACTTAATACAGGTTTTATAATTTTTTTTTTTTGCTTACTTTAACACTACAATTTGCTATATCTTTTTAAGTTTTACACATTATAATTTCAGTAAATCACAAATCGTGTATAAATTTCTATCATAAACAAATCTTTTTCATTTAAAAAAAGGTATGTTTTGGTCTGAAATTTACCAGGAAAAAAAAAACTTTTAGTCAAGTCTCACTTTTACAGCATTTTAAAATTTATTCTTAAGAGTTACTTGAAATGTCTTTTTATTTGTTTTTGAGGTTATAAAAATATGGTCCAGCGTCTAACCCACATAACTCAGATTTTGTTTCAGGACAATATTTTACAGAAAATAATGACATTTTAAATACATACCTATTAGACAATTTTTAACCCCCTGCGCATTAAGTCTGACTTGTACCGAGTATAGTTGTAAGCTTTCCTGTATCAAAAAAACAGTTTTCCCATGTCATTCAATGGCAGAGTAGTGTGTAACAGAAAAATTTCTGTAAAATTTTATCCAGGGGTTCACGGCTTGGAGATCTTAGAAGGGGAAATGAACATTTAAAAAAATAGCGTAATCCATAACTTTGTAACTTTCATTTTCTGCGGCATATTTCTTTAGCTTTAAAAGAAAAAGCAAACTTATTCCAATAAGACTAAGATTTGTAGTGTATCAAAACTACGCACTACAGGAGTAGAAGAGACCAATGAAAAAATATAGGATTTTTCTAGGACAGAATATGAGACCAAAAATCGAAGCTAAACAGAAATCACAGAACACATATGAATAACTTAATAAATTAATACTTTTTTATGGCTGAAAGTCAGTTTAGGTGACTAAAAGTAGCTAAACATTCCTTTTTGATAGAAAGAATAAAAAAAAAGTGTCAAGGATCTCATTTCAATGCATACCATAAAGGAAATGATTGTTAAATTTTATTTAAAACTAAAAATAAATTTTATTTAACACAATGCTTAGTTTGAACGTTAAAATTTATTATGCAAGTTCCTTTAATAAAAGTTTTGTTTTATGATTGCCAGCATTCATAAGACTTAACCATGGCCCAAAATTTAAAGCTCTGGTTAACTTAACTTCAAGAACAACCTGAGCTGAAGAGAAGGTTTCTTTAAAATCTTTCAATTTCTCCTCTGATTTTTCCCCGCATTAAATTGCTGTGAGGTTTATAGGCATTTTTCAGTTAGCTGGACATAAGTAAATTCAACTACATTTTATTTATTTTCTTGTGAATGTCTAATTTAAATATTAAAAAAAAATTGCTGAATTTACTAGTGCTGTCTAACCGACCGAAAGTATACACTGAGTGGACAAATTATTATGACCACCTCAGAGTTTTACGCAAATAAGCTATTGCGTCACAGCGCTGCCGCTAGGATAACTTTAACACGGGAATGCTGGACAAGCGAGTCATCAGTTATACTGTGTTGCTTGCTCAGAAATGGGAAAGAAAAGTGATTTAACTGAATTTCAACGTGGAACGATTGTGGGTGCGAGATGTGTCGGAACGAGTATCAGCAAAACGGCTGCACTTGTGAAGTGTTCTAGAGCAGCAGTTGTTAACGTGTACAAAAAATGGACAATCAAGCAAAAAACCGGGTCTCAACGTCAGACTTCTGGTCGTCATAGGGTACTGAATGCTTGATCAGAGAGAAGACTGGCCAGAGTTGTGCAGTGCAACAGGAGAGCAACAGTGTGACAAATTGCAAGTGATCTTAATCAAGGAGCAACTGTGAACGTCTCTGAACAAACTGTTTGACGCACATTGCGGCGTATAGGGTATGAAAGCAGACGACCTGTTCGTAAGCCTCTACTGCCTGCTTTAAATACGCGCAGACATCTCCAATGTGCAAAGAGGGTCATGTGGTCCGATGAATCACGATTTCAAATGCATCATGCAGATGGCAGGATGAGAATATGGAGAAAACAGCACGAAAGCACGGACCCCAACTGCATTGCCACGACACTTCAAGCTGGTGGTGGCAACGCTATGGTATGGGTCCTTTAATTCCTGTACCACAACGCCTTAATGCCCAAGGGTATTTAAGTATCATAGCAGATCAAGTACATCTGTTTGTGTCAATGGTGCACTCTGGCGGGGATGGATACTTCCAGCAGGGCAACGCTCCCTGTCATAAAGCTGGCATTGCCCTCAGATGGTTCGAAGAGCATGATGGAGAATTTAACTTGCTTCGTTGACCAGCACAATCCCCAGATCTCAATCCAAGTGAGAATTTGTGGGATGAAATTGAATGGGTGCTCAGACAGATGGATCCAGTACCATCAAATTTGCAGCAATTTGCAAGTGCAGTTCAGCGAGCATGGTCTGGCATACCTTCTACCACTAACCAACATCTCATATAATCCATGCCCAGACGAATTAAGACAGTAATACGCGCAAAAGGTGGCCCAACAGCGTACTGAAAGGGTGGTCTAAATAATTTGGCCACTCAGTGTATACATATATATTTTATAATATTGGATTTTTTTTTATATCATCCCTTCTTTATATCTTCTGTGTTAAAACTAGATTTAAATCAGCTGATTTTTAAAAAAATTAATTTTTTTATATTCTATAATTAGATTTTAATTTCTTTTTTTACTGATTTTTAGTTCTAAAATATATTGTAAATATTTTGCGATCAATAAGCTTCATGTAGTAAAATTACTCTTGTAAATACTTGAAGTGTAATTAATCTCAGTACTATTGAAATGACATTTTAAATTTTTTTTTTTTGGATCTTTCGTAATAATGCAAATAAATGGAAAAATAATAAATTTTTATATTTATGAAGTTAGCATTGAATATAGGTTTATCAAAATAAATAAAAAACATGATAGCAATGAAAATTCTATCACTTTAACTTTAATATTGCAATTTTAGTTCTGAACGTTAAAGAATTTATGATAATATGGCACAGAAAAAAGAACTATATAAATTCTGATTTTTTCTTTTAGTGCATATTTATTTTTTTAAATAAATAAAGAGATTTTGTAAAGTTATTGCTCAAATGGCAGTTGTGATTAACAATTATTATAGAATAACTTAATTGACAATTTTTTTCATTATTTCAAAATTTAACGAAAAAAGGATTTATAAAATTTTCCTTTTAACCTGCTTTTTTGGTATAATTTATAACCTGGTTTTTGTTAATAAATAATATATATTTCTATTACAGTTACATTAAATATAATACAAGCAAATGCATGACACCCCTGTAATTTTCATCAATTGCATTTTTTTTTTTCTAAATCAAATCTTTCATAATTCTTACACTCACTAATGTGCTAAAACTTATTCTTGATCTTTCTTCTTCTCCCCAATTCTACAGCCCTTGGCTTTCTCTTCTCTTGTATACTGAGAAGTCTTGTTCTACAGAAACTTGACCATGAAAACATGTGAGGGCTGCCATTACAAGTTAAAAAAGAACATATGTCTAACAATTTCACTTCCTTTAAAATCAAAACTACTGTTCCAATATTTTTTCAATAGCAACATTTTCAGTTTCTCCAAGGACATCAACATTTGCACATGTATATTACTTTCAAATATGATCTGGATTAGCATATTGCTTTATTTTTTGACTGTTGACATTATAGCTTAATTTATTTATTTTTTTTACTTATTGGTCAATCACAAAATTGCTCTGGATTATGTGTAGTAAATGGAAAGCATTAATTTAAAAAAAAGTAAATATATAGGAAATATAGGACATCAATCCCTGTGTACTATCAAAAAATTAGTGATTCATATTTTTAGAAAATTGCATATTTTTAGAATGTTAGTAAAATTTAGGAGTTTTTATTTTAAAAGAAAGTTATGCAAAATCAAAAGCGTCGAAGGAATTTTTTTTTTTTTTAACAAGACAGAAATTAGTGACTCAGACAGAAGAATAGCACCCATGCCTCCATATTAGATCAGCAACAAACTTTCAGTTTGTTACAGTTACAATAGCATAACACACAAAGTTGAATCTCAAACAACTTCAACAGCCACATATCATTAAAAAAAGTTTATAACATACAATAAAATTACAATACATTATTTTATTTACAATAGAATATGAGCTATTATAAAATTCTCACAGCAGTGTTTAAATTTTATATCAGGCATATTTAGAATTCAGCAAGTGATTCATTATTTAAAAGTAGTGAAATAGTAATTTCGAAGAAAGGTCAATTTCTTCAAAATTGTTTGCAAGTTTTTATTAATAGTTTCTTCATAATGATATTTTTTATTACTCTTTTATTCAACTTCTATTCTTTGACATAATAAAAATTGCATTAATATCACTGCTTTTAAGAAAACACTAAACTTCTCCTGATATTTAATTAAAATCATGAAATCTATTTCATTACAGATAGAACTCCAAAAAAGGAAAGAAAATATCTACTTTTCTTCAGTATCCTATGCATGAAAAACACCTCTTGTGCTTGACCTTGGGAACAAATGCCTGCCACTGATAATGATGAAAAGGTGAAAAATGAAAAAAAAATAGAAAATGATTTTGATTGAAAGGAAGTGTTTTAATAAGCAAATTTGATTCAGCAACAATTTGTCTTTCTGAGAAAAAGGGAAAATAAAGGGAATTATACTTTTCACACGAACTCCTTTTCATTTGAAACTTGTTTAAAAAATGAAAAAATCATACTACTTTTTGACATCAAATATGTAACATGAAAATATGACATAGACATGCGAAAACATACTAGCTTTTCCTACTTCTTTCCTACCGAAAGAGATTTTAAAAAATTTCCTAATGATTATTTTAAACTCTCACATTCGTTAAAATGGTAAATTTTAAATGTGGGGAAAAAAAAGAAAAGACGAAAAAAAAAGAAAAAAAACCAGGAATATCAGAAAAAGAAGACAAAAAGCTAAATAACAGGTCAAAAGGCTAAATAACAGGACAAAATATTTTTAACCAGGGATATAAGGACTACTACGAACTCGGCCTAACTCTGCATTTTCAAACAGACTTTATTAGGAGAGAAATAACATAATGATTAAAGAGCAATACAGATATCCTTAATGATGCAAGGTAACATCATTATTAAGGGTAAATTAATTAAATATTCTTTAAGAATAATTTTCCTTTCTAAATGATTATCTCAAAATAACCATTGTTGGTACAACTGCAAATATATTAAAAAGTAATATACAAAAAGAATAATATACAAATTTATTTACCTGTTTAGCATATGTTAAACAGGTATATAAGGCTTTACTTTTCAACTTATGATTTTATATGAAGGTTACTAATTAGGGTACCTGTTAAAAAAATTCAGATGTTTTTCAAAGTTATACGCACACAATAATCTTTTAATAACAGTGGACTTCCTCGGCAACACAACAGCCCAGAGTGGGCCCTGGCCTTCTCCAAAAGTCCTTTCTAGGCATCAATTTGTTCAGCAACGGTCTTCAAATTGTTGGTTTTCAGAATATCTGTCTCTTACAAGATAGTCAATCCATCTAAGGCGAGGTCTGCTTATTTTTCCAGTTGCTATAGGTTTAGCTAGAAATAGTTTTTAGCAGTTTCGATCTTCCTGCATTTTAACCAGATGTTCAATCCATTTTATACTTCAGTATTACAAGTATTTCATAAAATCAGGCTCTTTAAAGACTTTACATAATTCTGAATTTGTTAACCCTTACCATAGGCTGTCAATCTGAGTTCTACCACAAATACCCCTTCGGATTTTTCTGTTCGGTGCTAGTTTCTCCTCATCTCTCAAAGTTAGTGCCCATGTCTCACATACATACAATAAAATAGATCCTACAAGTGAATAACAAGGGTCTGTCCTAGTTTTTTATTGTCATGTCCTATATTTGTTGATTGTTTTCGATTTTTGTAAAATGCTATTTCCTTTGAGGAAAATGCAAAAATAACATTATTGGCAGAACAATTTACAGGTTTTTATTTTAATTTTAATTCAACTCCTTATTTGGGCAGGAACAATTTTTTCTCTACAGTTTTTATCTTGAATACACACTTCATTTAAATTGTCATTTTGATGAAGAGGAACAAAATTATTAACTAGCTGAATTTGATTATCTTCGGGGAAATTCACTATCATATCAGATGCTAAAGAACCAACACCTTGAATTGAATTATTTACAGATAAATTATTGTCAAATTAAAATTAAAAATTTTACCCCAGCCCTTGGCATTGATGGGTTTTATTATTTTCTGAAAGTTTAATTTCTTTTTTTTCTTTTTTTTATAATACTCAACATTTTGATAATTTCCTCCAGTAGAAGGTTATTCATGTCTTATTTTATCTATAACATAAAGTTTAAAAATCCACTTTTTAAATACATGCAAGATCGAAAATTATTTTCGCGACTGATATTTATCAGACAAACCATCGTATGAAAATATCAAGATCCTAAAGAGAACTGCTCCAGCACTTTTCAGGGACCTTCAAAAAGAAGAAAGGAAGAGAGAATTCATTCAACAATCATATTCAGACGTCAGCGAGTTTTTGACGTCTCAATATGTAACTGTTTTTTAATTGCACTGCCTTCCTTCTTCATACCACTGATCACGTAAGCGGTTTTTTCTGCTTGCCGAAAAGAGGAACTCATGGACTTTCAAAGCAATTTTGTAAAAAAGACTTTCGCGAAATGCTCAAAAATGGTATATATTTACCCCTTAAACAGACTCCTGAATAATCAACAGTTAACTTTGAAATAAAAGAAAAATGATTAGAACATTTAAAGAAATTAGTTTTTTTTTCTCAATTAAAATGAAAAAAAAAAGGTTAAATTTGCATTACAACCATCACAATGTTGGTTGAGAAGAAACCTATCATCCTGTTCAGAGTTGCTAAACAACTTACTTTTAAATGGGCTAAATGATATTCCAAAAGAACTTTAGCATTGCTGATAGCTTCAACAGTTCCAACAAAAACAAAGGGAACCTGTAATATTAATTTATGCAGAGTTAAAAAAAAGGATGATGATATCAAATTTCTTAAATGAAAAAAAAAAAAAAAGAAAGAAAGAAGCATTGAAAAAAATTAAAATATTTATAAAATAAAAATTTTTTTGCATTATCTGGAAAAATAAACTAAATAATAAAAATAAAAGTATGTGTAAATAATGAACAAATAGAATGCAATACAACTAAAATGACCTATAAAATAAGTAACAATGTTATTAATACAATGAACAAATAAATTAAAAGAGTTCTGGAGATATTATGAGCTACAGTAATAAAATCCATATAGCTACTGGAAATTCTATTTTAAAAAGAAAAAGGCAGTTATGAAGAAAATTTGGAAGAGCATTAATTCACTGTAATATCTTTAAGCAATGTGATGAAAGAAAAAAAAAAAAAAAAAAAAAAAAAAAAAAAAAAAAAAAAAAAAAANAAAAAAAACTAGAACGTACAATAGATGATGAAATTTAAAAATAAATCAGAATACAATCTTCATCAGAATCAAATTTTTACAGTAAAATATTTTATGCAATTAATGTACCCAGATTGCAGATTGTCATTATAAACTTAAAAACAGTCATAGCAGTCACAGGTGTGACCGTTTTGAATTGTCTCAAGCAGGTCATAATGTTACTGTGGTGTAACTCTGTCTTGTGATATAATGTAAAAGTTTCCACGACTATTTGTGACTTTGGCCAACTGGTAGTCACAAATATACTTCACTGGGACTCGAAATTCCGCACTTAATTCGATCTAATTTTTTTAAAGAAAGTTTTATAGATAAGACAAAAAAAAAATTTAGCTGAATTCTCTTTTAATTTGGAATTTTATTCTATAGAAGTAACTTTTATTTTATCTTTTAAAAATAGAAAAAGCTTGAAAAAAATAATGAATCTGTGTCAAACAAAACATCTGTTTCTAAAGCAGTTAAAAATAAAGTGAAAAGTAAAAACACCTGCATTTCCAAAGAACAAAATAAAGCAATGCAAGTTGGAAGAAACTGATCAACCAATCTTGACAGCTGTGTTTGTGCTCTACTGATTTGTTCCCACATTTTCCTCTCCTGTTTGACCATAAATTGGCCACACCACGGGATACAAAGTGAATTCTATCCCCTTTGCATTTTTTTTAATTCGATTTATTTATATTTTATTTTGCGGCTTTTTTATTAGTTTTTAACTGTTAATTTGTTTTTATTTTTTTGGTTAATACAGTGGAAAGTCGGCGTATCCGGAATCGGCGGGACTTCCCAAAGTCTGGATATTAGATTTTCCCGTATAATAGACCCCCAAGGTAAACAAAGCTTAAAATGATCTGAATCTAAGAAGCAAAAAAAATAAATAAATAAATAAACATTATTTTTCGGGCAATAAATAATGTTTTAGTATTAGAATGATATATAATCAATCAAAAACAAAATATTAGATGAAAAAAAATTATTGCTATTATAAAAATAAAGATAGAAAACAAAAAAAATTGACAGTTATGAAAATATTAATTGCTATCTCCACCATTTCGAACTAGAATGATTCCAGCAAATAAGGAGAAATTCCCGTCATTTATTAAGGTGGGTAGGTGGAGAAGAAAATTCATTTCCTCCTTATTTGACATTCAAGTTGAGGGCGGGGCAGTGACAAATTCTTATTTTTTCTTCCATCATTGGCCATCAATCAAGCATAAAGGTGCTGCATGCTGATAGGGTTCTCCTTATATTTTTCTAATGTGACTAAAGGGGATCCCCCCACTTTAACGCTTGCTGTGTTTACCCCTTTTTCACAGTATTTCCCTAACACTCTAATAAAAAAGGTCCAGGAAATGCCTCTTTTACTAGCCAGCTGCATAGGAAAGAAGGGGGGAGAGAACTCTGTTGTGCTCCTTTGAAAATAAATCTCCCACACTTTCCTGCATTCCACAGGAGGAGCATCACTAACTTGGTAGATCTTCTGTTCCCCTTTCTGTTGATTTATGGGTTCAATGCATAAATCACTAGAAGCTAAGAAAGGAAAAAACCTGTCAAAAGCCATCTTTTTTTTTAAAGAGAGGGGAAGGAAAAGAAATGTTTGTTTATTTTTATTGTTAAAAAGTGTCCGGGAAATCGACTCTTCCGGAAAAGGGACGTTACACTGTAGTTAGCTTGTTTTTTGTAGTTATTCATTGTCAGTTTCCTAGTAATAATTGTTACTTTTTTTGTAGTTCCTTGGTAGCTTTTTTTTATGTGAGGTGAGCGTATATTGTTAAAACAAAATGTTATCTAAACGAGAACTATGATCTTCCTCCGAAAAATAAACGATTATTTCTTCTTGAATTATTTCTCCTCTGGATTATTTTTTTTCTCAATTATATTATATAGCTTATTAATTTAATTAATAAAATTTCCCAAGATGGTCCAGTTTTAAATTCACTCCATCATAATCTACGATCGAAACTTAACTAAATTTATTGGATTTTCTGAAATTAACAATTAAATTATAGTAATATATGGGTGCCATATTGGAATTTCGTCGGTCCCGTGAGTGCAAGATTTGGGGTTCTATTACTTCCTTATCTGCTCGCTCCAATTACAATTGCTAAGTGGATTTCTAGCTTGCGATTTTTCTTTAAGCTGGGGGTGGATACAAGATGCATACCTTTTAAATTGGTCTCCTTATGCAATGTTTTTTCAAAAATTATTATTTAGTTTATTTTTCAGCAGGCTGCTGCCGAAAGTTTGCTAAGAATTGGCGATTGTTCTGCAGCAGATCGAGATACGGGCGAATATTTCGTCGACTTTATTATTATTTTTTTAATAGTCTTTCTCTCAGAAAATTTTTTCATCTTAAATAATTTTCCTTGATAAATTTTTTTGCTACTAAAAAGTATTTCGTCATAAGTGCCGCATGCAAGTAAAAAACAACTGTTTTCGATAGTGCCTAGGCGCTTTCGCAGAAAAATACGGCATATATTGTATTTAGATACTTTTAGATTTGATAAATTATACGGTTTTCAAATGCAAATAATTTGAGTAAAATTATAAATTTAATTTTTACAATTTAGAAAAATGAGAATAGAGATAGTCAATAAGATAAAATTAATAAAGAAACATCTAGTGGATATTTCCTAGAAAAAAGCAAACGATTCTAAAACAAGACAAAGGCCAGTTCTTTCAGCAGTAGCATTTTTTCGTTGGTCAGTTTGGTGATGATAGGCTGAGTGCAGTTGTTAATTCTATCTCATAATTGAACATAGCCATTAGAAAAATAAATTTTACGATATAAAAATTCTTTAACTTTTGTTGAGTGCTTTTTATATGTTGAACGCTTCGGCTCTATGCTTTCTACCAGCCTTTAAATATTTTTAGTTACAGTTTAGTTTATTGCATAAAGTTTGAATATTTGGCGACGCCAAAGCTATAAAAATGGTGGAGAGGTTTTGTGCTGATTTTGATAATTAAAAATGATTATTCAACTTAATCAATTTCATTTTATTCTGAATTAATAGTTAATGTTTGACGACACAAGAAAGTTGTTAAGATGTACAAAAGAATTGAGTCCTTATTTAGTTTTCCTGAAGAGATTGAGATTGACGATTCGATTTTTAATTAACTTTTGATTTTTATTAAGTTGAAATTATTTATGTTTTTCTCTTTTAAATACTTTTTGAGGGTTTATTTTTGATTGTTATATCAATGCTATTTTATTGTGATCACATTTTTTTAGTTTTTCCTTCATTTGTATAATAATGCGTCCTTATGTACAATTTTAGCAAGCACTGTTATACATACATATGGTTTTTATTTTCTAATTTATATTGTTTGAGATTGTAAAATAATTCATTTATTTGCACATTTATTCAATATGCAAATAAATGAATTATTTTACTAACTTTTATAATAAATTTATTAATTTTTAAAAAGTTAATAAATTAAAATATTTAAAGTTTTTATGACTCAAAATCTTGATTTTTAAAAAGCAGTTACTATTTATGTCTTTCCAAAATTATTATAATGGTTCAATTTACGATATCAATAACATTTATATTAATTTTAAAATATTTAATTTTTATCATAAATATTAGGTGTTATAAATTCTTTCTTCTGAGATTGACTTATTCAATAAAGTCTACCATTTGAACAAACATGTAGTTCACTAAAACATGCAAATGATGGCATGAAAGTTAATAACAAAATTAAAAACAGTGCTGCTTATATCAATGTTTGATATTTACTGCGTTAAATGGCTTTCATTATCTTGATAAGTAAACTCTGGTGACGAAGCTTATTAGTTGGGAATGAAATTTAAATTATAGGGGAAACCGAGGTTAGTTGATCTAAAACCATTATACACACGGTTTGATTTTGTTTTTTCAAGACAAATATTGGACATGAAATATTATTTAAATCTTCAGCAAATGCATTATTTTCTTTAACATTTTAAGTTAAAAATAGATTTTTTTTTAAAAAATAATAAATTAAAATAAGTCTTGTATTATAAAAAAATGTAAAATAATCATTCTTACAACACAAAATTATTTATTGAATGTTATTTTAAATAAATGAACTTATATATATATATATACACACACACACAGTGAAACCTCACATTACGGACACCTCTTACTAAGGACATTTTTTTAAACATTCTATGAATAAATCAATGTGTACCTTCTCCTGGAACCGGACAGTCATTTATGCCCTGAAACATTAGTTTTTATCTCATCAAACCATCTTTATCAATTTTCTAAATTATTATTATTTTTTTTACAAAACTATTTCTGCTTTAAATTCCTACAAAAGAAATTGTACAACTTTCCACTACTTTTGAAGTATCTAATTTCTTTGCTAGGTGCATCCTCTGTCACATTCCTTTATAATTGCAAAGAAAGGTGAGAAAATGATACCGTTCATGTGAATTGAAATTTTAAATAGAATTGAGTGGCTATTTAAAATTTCAATTAAACTGATTCAATTAAAAATGAAAACTTTTGACACTAGGAGAAATATGGAAATATTTTCAATAAATATAATTTTTTCCTGATAGAATTTGAAAATAGTGGGAAAAAAAACATTGCGTAGTTAGCCAAAGACAATCAGGGTTCATGCTCTACTATAAAAATAAAATTCAAGTACTTTTCAAGGACTTTTTAAGACTTATTATAAAATTCTCAAGGACTTAAATTTTAGTTAAAGATAGACTAAAATTTAACATTTTAAACTANAATTATTACAGATAACCATCCACCAACTAAAACTCATACGTTAGTGAATGTCACTAACAGTGCGAATAGTTTTTATGAAATCATTCAAAGCTTTTTTTGATAAAATACTTTAATACTTAAAGCCTGGATATTCTTGCAATTATAAAATATAAATATTTCATTAAAAAAACATTTTTATTTTAAAATGTAAACACATTCATCGAATTTAAGACAAAATTATTATTTTTTTGATGTAGTCTCCTTACAGAAAATATTGAAGTTATAGAAAATTCTATTTGCATGAATTGCAAAGGAAAAATTTATATTTTTCAGGAGTTTAGGAGAAAGAATAAAAATTAGGAATCTAAAATTTAAAAAGTTCATGCTGCAGTTCATATTTTTCTTTGGCTATGGAACCCTAAATGACAGAGCTCCTCCTTTTAGTGGAATAATGGCATTATATATAAAAAAGACTAATTATTTTGAAAATATTTTATGTGAAGAACAAAATATTATATATTCTAATTATGTTCTTGTGCATGCATGTTTTGAAAATGAGTTGAAATGTTTTGATAAAATAAGTTGATTTTAGGTTTTTAAAATAGAGCTTGATGAGAAAAAACTTATAAACCATCATAAGGGCATATCTTTTTAATAATTTATTCAAAGAAAAATTAGTTATTTAAAAGCTATTTTCAAAATTGCTTTTTTCATTCGCATTTTACACAGTTTCATATTAACAACCGAAAAATATTAAACAAATTATAGATAATTAATTGGATATAAATATAATTATTAATGGTTAAAAAATCCAAACTCTAGGCACCCCTGTAATCTTTTCACTGAACACTTTTTGGGAACCACCGTGCTAAAATACAGCTGATATCCAATAGTTTTTATTACTTTTATGAAATAGTTCAAATAAATTTACTATAATTGAAATCAGACGACACATTTAAGTAATTGCTATGCATACATTAATTTAGGTACTACTATACATTCTTGTTTGAGTAAAATAGCAACTATTTTAGTATGATTCAGAAATAAGACTGCTAAAATTTTAATTAAAAAAAAAACATTTATTTTTCAAAACTCACTTCTTCTCTAGGAGTTTGATTATCATTGTCTCCTTCTATTTTTACACGAACAACACCAGATTTATCCACCATTTCTTGTATGATTCTACCATTTTTCCCAATGACTTTACCTTAAAAAAATAATAAAAAGCTTTATGCTAATACACACTAAATATAATTTTTTCCAAGCATACACAGGGTTCATGCTCTACTTTTAAAAAAAAATTCAAGTACTTTTCAAGGACTTTTTAAGACTAATCATAAAATTTTCAAGGACTTTAATTCAAGTAAAAGATAGACTAAAATTTAACATTTTAAACTAAAATGATATGAAAAAAATAATTAGTACTGAAAAATAAAACTTCCATCCCTCTCTCTTTACTTAGAAAAGTAACCATAGTATAAAAAAAAAAGCAAAGGTGCTCTTAATTTTACATAGGGCCTAGATATAAAGAAGTTAGATATACAACCTCTGAATAAGTAGATTCGAACAAGTCATGAAGAAAAAGAAACATTTTAAATGATCTGCACAATAAAAAACAAAGTACACTTAAACTTATTTATAATAACAATTCTACAGTAAAGAAAAATAGAAAACACACTATTTAAAGTTATTAAAAGATATTTATTTGTAAAAAACTCATGTCTCATATGATATGTAAAGAACATTAACAAATACACCAAATAATTGTTGAATATCTGTGATAAAATATGAAAAAAAGAATCAAATAAAGTCCCTGAAAATCAAATTTTAATCAAACAAAATGTTAAAGTCGTAATATTAATATAAACACATATCATAAAGAAAGAAAAGGTTATTTCCAAGATCATCTATATCATGCCAACAAGAACAAGTCAAGGATTCAGAATAAAACATTTAAAAAAAAAATTTGTTTAGCAGAATTAAATTACCCTAAGAAAAGATAAATTAGTAATAATTTTCAGCTGAATTATCACAAATGTGAAATAAATAAGTACTAGATTTAAATATATACAAGACTCCCAAGCTATATGCAAATCATTAATGAAACTTGAAAAAAATAATAAAATACATAAAAACTGGATAAAAGAAATGATGAAAATTAAAGGCTTTGCTAACTTCTATTAGAAGCAAAAAAATAAAAATAAACGATAATCATTGCATCAACATTGCATGAATGACATTGCATCAACATTTGAAATACATATTTTACCAAATAAAGCCTTTGAAAATCAAATTTTAATAAAAACAAAATGTTAAAGTTGTAATGATATTAACATAAAGATGTAACCAACTTTAAAAACACATATCATATAGAAAGAAAAGATTATTTTGAAGATCATCTATATCAGGTTAACAAGAACAAGTCAAGGATATTAGTAAATTTTAAGCTGAATTAACACAAATGTGAAGTAAATATATACAAGACTCCTAAGCTATATGTACTAAATACACAGTAAAAGTCTCCAAATCATAAATGAAACTTGAAAAAAATAATAAAATACATAAAAACTGGATAAAAGAGGTGATGAAAATTAAAGGCTTTGTTAACTTCTATTAGAAGCAAAAAAATAATAAAAATAAACGATAATTAAAATTCAGTTTTAAGAACATTGCATCGACCTTTGAAATACATATTTTACCAAATAAAGCCTTTGAAAATCAAATTTTAATAAAACAAAATGTTTCAGTTGTAATGATATTTACATAAAGATGTAACCAGCTTTAAAAACACATAAAGAAAGAAAAGGCTATTTTCAAGATCATCTATATCATGTTAACAAGAACAAGTCAAGGATATTAGTAAATTTTAAGCTGAATTAACACAAATGTGAAGTAAATATATACAAGACTCCTAAGCTATATGTACCAAATCCACAGTAAAAGTTTCCAAATCATAAATGAAACTTGAAAAAAATAATAAAATACATAAAAACTGGATAAAAGAGGTGATGAAAATTAAAGGCTTCGTCAACTTCTATTTGAAGCAAAAAATAAAGGATAATTGAAATTCCATTATAAAAAAATTTCATCAATTTTTGAAATACATAATTTGAGTGACATAGAAATAATAATAAATTCATTAACAAGTGTTTATGAAAATATTTTAAAATTACACTTAAATTATTGAAGATATGACAATATACTAATTATTTATGAAAACTTTTTTAAAAAAAATTTCCTCTTGGTTTCCACTGATTCTTTCATCGATGGTTTCAATTTCGGATTGCTTTTCTTTTACTGTCCTTCGGAAGCTATTCGCCTTTTTTTACCAACAATATGTTTTCAGTTGTCTCAGCTTTTTCTAGCAAGCTGTCAGCTGATTTACTGAGTTCAGTCACAGTCTTGTCCAGACAAATTTTTTTTGACTGCAGTTTTTGGAGCTCTTGATCGTTGTTGGGTCTTTTTTTCCTTTCAAGCTCTCTCTTTCTCTTTTGCTTTAAGGTCAAGGTGATGACGGTATTTCTGTCTAGCACCTCTAACATCAATCTTCATATCCTTAGTGATATCAATCCCCTTTGCCCCCCCCTACAGGATAATAATGCATCTTTCACAAGCCTCTTAGCTAAGTATGTCTCTTCTTTCAAATTATCAACTTCAACCTGCCGGTTGGTTGAAAATCCTCTCTCTACAGTAGAAGTAAAAGTTTCTTCATAACACTTTGGAATACTCATGGACACACATGTGTTTCTTCAGAAACTCATCCAGTCGTTGAGTTGTTTGACAGAATTTAAAAAATTCAAAAATTCAAAAAGAATAGAATCACATTCTGCATTATTGACTTTTCTACACCTAGTCAATTCTTTCAGAACGATAGCCATTTTCTCAAATATGATTTATCACTGCTGTGATACATCCTCCTGGGGTCTAGGGATGCAAGGCATCGAACTAACTGATTAGATAGGGGTGACTTTTCTGCTATTTTTTTCACAATGGCAATAATGCACTTTTGGCAGTCATGCTGAAGGTCCAGCCCAGCTTTATCAGTTATCTGCTTCTGTGCGAGCAGTTTCTTCAGTATATTTCCTGCAACAAATCCAATTGAAACTTTGCTGATGCTACCTTTATGATTATTAAAATCAAAATTAGCAAAGTCGCAGTACTCTTTCATTTCACTGACAGATTCATTCTTTAAGACTTTGAAAGTATCCAATAGCATCGGCCAATCCTTCTGATATAATGTTAAAAAGGGCTGAAGAATTCTAATAACCGACAGAAAAAAATGAAGTTTTACAGGAAGAAGTATGTCCTTGCATGAAGCAATTACAAGCAAATAAGATTTGCTGCTGGGTTTGTTAAACTTCCCCTTTTCAACAGAAGAAATGCATAGTTTTAAATCATCCAAAATGTCTAAAGCTCTTTGTGCAGCTGGGCCATTCTCTAGCCATCTATGGCCACAAAATTTAAGAGGCATCAATTTACTTTGTGAGGCTTCTAAAAAGTCTTCTTTCCTTGCTGGAGCATCTTTAAATAGCCAATGAAGGCTTCTCAAAAAATCGTCCAAATGCCATTGCGTCTCAACAAATCCTCTTTCAAAGACGTTATTCACAACATGAAGACTACAACTACCTACATTTGGTATTTGGCATCCGAATTGATTTTTTAAGATCGTTTGAAGTAAATCAAAGATCTTCCAATTTACATAAGGCCCATCCATAGAAACCCCCATTAAATTGGAAAAATCCAATTTGCTGATGGTGGTGAGAAGATGAGACACCGTGACATTAGCTGTAGAATAGCCTAAGAAACTTGAATCAACGTACTTAGTGACAAAATTTTCATCATCCCAAAATCTGACCAAAACAACCAACTGCTTGGATTGCAGAGACTTATTTAAGCTCTCATCGAACATTACACAATAGTCACCTGAGAGTTTACAGCTCTCAAAAACTTGTGACTTAAAATATGGTGCTAAGCCAAAACACAAATAATACGCAGCTTTATTGGCCCCACAAGAAAAAGATCTGGCTATCACACTGTCGCTAAACATGTCTTTAAATATATTGGCAATTGTTTGACACGAATTAAAAGAATAATTATTTTCAACGCACTTTAGCACCCATCTTATCTCAGCATGTGTACTATCAGTAGAGCCAAAATTCAAAAACAGCACTAGAAGAAGGCACTGCTTCTTGAGATATGCTACTTGTAGAGGAACTGGGCACTGGTTGCTCAATATTCAGTACCTGCTTGTGCTCAACAAAATTTTTAAGGCTTGATGCCTTGAAATTCTTCAAAAGATCTTTGTGCTTTTTACCTGTAAATAAATAAAATAAAAAAAATTTACTAAGCAAGAAAAGGAAGTTTTATTTACCATAATATAAATACTTATATTTAAACTTAAAGGCTAAGCAAAAAAATTTTTTGAAGCTAAAAGTGGCAGGTCACTAACAGAAAGTAATATTAACCTGTCGATCACCAACAATGGTTTATAAATCAAGTTATTTATTATAAGTGCTATAATATAAAAACTAAAATAATCCAAAAATAGCATGCACATTGTAGAAATTTACGAAAACTATATAACCAATGGCATGATTTTGGCAATATTAATGAAGTTACATTGTGCACAGGCCACCTTTACTTCTGAGACAATTTGGCATCCATCGTTCTAAAGCCGTGACCACAATTTTCCATCAACCAGTGAGTTATCACTCTTATACAACAAACATAATTTAAATTTAATTATAAAATTTTAAAATTAACAATTTAATTAAACTAGAAACATTTTCTTTTAACAAAATTCTTCATAATATCCAAGATGACTATTCAGTACATGTATGTAAGAAAAATTCAACATTTCGTTTCAATTATGTATCTTGTTTGAATGTTTAGTTTATATAAGTATATAAACACATTTTAAATAAATGTTGGTAAATTAAAAAAAAAAATACATAGTTAAATTTTGTTTTAATCTTTATTTTGACAAAAGTAGGTAACATTTAAAAAAAAAAAAAACTAGTAATTAAATTTTTTTTTTTTAAAACTTTTCATTTAAGTTAGCAAAAAAAAAAAAATTATGTTGATAATAAAAAGGGCTACTTCCATTTTTATAATAGTTAAATAATCAAATGATTATGAAATTTTTTGGACCTATTTTTGTTTTATTTACAATTATTGTAAGGTAAAAAGTTTCCCGAAACACACACTTAATTTTAATAATAAAAAAACTCAAATCAATCAAAACACTCAAATAAAAAAACTCAACATAATATTCATTTCTAAACAAAACTTTTACGACAATAAAATCAAAATTAAACAAAATTTTAAGTCAAAATTTTTATTGATTTTGTTTATGCACAAGTTTTTGATACTTAATATGTGCATAAATTAACAACAATCAAATATTAACACACATTGAAAAGCGCTTAAAACAATCACTTTTCATTTATTTTATTTTATTATTTATATTATATTCATTTATATTATTTATTTTATCATTATATTTTAGAAGGAATAATGCAGTAAATTTAAAGTAATGCAATAATAATTTTGATTCAAATTACTCCAAAAATTAGTTTTGACAACAAAAAAAGCTTTTAACAATGAGTTTAATTTACTAATGTAACAAAATATAATAAAACGAAAAATAATTACCTTCATTGTGGGATCGCAGGGCTGATTCTCCCATTTTTGAGATATCAAATTCCTTTGAGCATAATCGGCAAGATGCTTCATACTTTCCATCGCCTTGCTTCAGCCAGTCACTATATTCTGGCTTATTTAACCATAAAATGTTAAAAACACATTTACCCATTACTTTATTTTAACTAATAAACAATAGCCTGAATGTACTACCGAGGAAAAATACGAACAAACCAACGTGTTAACACAGCGATATCAATTAACACAGTAAAAATATATCGATATATAACTTATCCTCCTTGAGTTACCAGTCAAACCAGTCTTTATTAACGATCGCGTTGGCAAGAGGGAAATCGGGACGTCAACAACTGATAAGAACGGAAAGCATTACGTCATCATCGTCTGAAAGGCGGGAGAGTCATTCTTTTGTCCTTACGCGTATGTGTGAGAAGTTTAACACAGAAATGCTGGAAATAGGGCGATTTTTGTGAGTTTCTGATAATTTTCAAGGCCATTTCTAATATTTCAAGGACTTAGCATTATTTTCAAGTGCTCTGTGGGGGCCCTTGAAAATCAAAATTAAATTCAAGTACTTTTTAAGGCTTTTTCAAGGCCGCCGAAACCTTGCATACACTAAATAAGCAATAAGTGATAAAATAATTAAATTATGTATACTAATAAACAACTACATTTCAATACTATTTCAAAAATTATTATTTTCAGGATACCCCTTCCCAGTTCCAGGGATGAGAGTAGTCAGAAAGTATAAAAGAGGAAATCCAAAAAACAAAAAAAAAGAAACAAAAAAAAAATATATATATATATATATATATAAACAAAAATTTGACAAAAAAGTGCGATTTTTAAACTTGTAAACCATGTGAATATAAATCCCGATATGAGACTTTTAAATCACGTAAATATGAAACTCTACATCGAATTTAAAAAATGCGAAAATACAAATCATGATTTTTTAATTTTTTGATCACGATGCATAATTTTTAAATCGCGCGATATTACAACCACAAAAACGAATCACGATATTGGATTTTAAGCTCACGTGAATACGAATTGCTACATAGGGCTTTAAAAGCTCGTAAATACAAATCGCGATATTGATTTTTTAAATCTCGTAAGTAAGAATCGCACTGTACAATATTTAAATCGCCTGAATAAGAATCGCAACGTTCAACTTTTAAATCAGGTAAATACGAAAATCGAGATTTGATAATAAAATCGAGATTTTAAAAATGCATAAATACAAAACACGATATTGGATTTTTAAATGTCGTAAATAAGAATCATAATATACGATATTTAAATAGCGTAAATAAGAATCGCAATGTGCAACTTTTAAATCAGGTAAATACGAAAATCGATGATTGATATTAAAATCGCGTGAATAAAAATCGAGATCTGAATTACGAAAATACGAGCTATCCAGCCGACGGATAAAAAATACGGAAAATCTTATTTTCTGTGCGTGAAATCGGAGAAAATAGCTAAAATAAGTAAAAATGCGGAAGGGTTAGCAGCTAGGGCGTAGATTGAATTTTCTGTTTATCTTTGAAAATCGTAAATAAATAGAATTATTTTACTTCAATGACTGAATTTAAAAAAAACGGGATATTTATTTTAAAAAAACGAAACTTTTAGAGAATCGGAGTTTTTGATAAAAAGGCTGAAATTCAAGAGACAAAAAAATCTCATCCCTGTATAAAGGTCAACCAGTTTTATCCCAAGGAATTGATTTTTAGAGAAACTTCAGAGGGAGGAAAAGGGACTTCAACAATTTCCTTTTGCGGAAAATTAAATTCCTCATAAAACATTTTAACTTGGGCAAAAAAAAATTTCAGCGGAAATTAGCGGGAAAAATGGAAAAATCTGAAAAAAAGCGGAAATCCGCGGAAGAATCTCATCCCTGCAGTTCTACACAAAACTTTGAAGTAATGACATGATAATCATAACAGTAAATTTACATACATGCATTAAAATCTAACCCATTGCTAGGGCTCACACCAGCAATATACATACAATGGTCTGATAGGAACAATTAGGGATTCATTTAGTTTCCAAAAACTTGATATGGTAGCCAAACATGAGAAAAATAATCGAATTTTACAATTACATTATTAAATGGTTGAATTACTTAGTTACACGGGAGTTCACAGTTAAATTTTAATACCATTAAAACAACCATTTTGAAGCATTTCTTCTTGAAACTTAAGAAACTTGGTACCTGGCATCATAGGAAGACTTTTGAATGCATGGAATTTAATGCAAAAAACTTTTTTTTTGTTTAACGATTTTGTAAATTCCAAAAATATTTCAAGACTATAAATTTGTTGCCCAAGCGTATGATTTCGTCCTGTTTAGAACATTTGGCAACAACTATCGTCATACTGGTGTTAACCTTACCCATTGCAAAAAATTCAAAAATAATTTTGTTTCTTGTATTCATAAGATTGTTAAACACCAGTTTGTTCTTCCTAAAAACAACAGCTTTTCAAAAGACAATGAACTAGAGTTTAAATTCCACATTAATAAAGATTAATGATTTAAATGCGAACATGAGAGACTTTAAATATGAATATTTTTACAGAACACATAAAATAGAGAGAATAATTGCAAAATAAAACACAGAGAGTAAGATAACATACCAACAAGACCTCTAGGCACTTCAACTAACTCTTCAGAGTACTCTAATATACTTCTAGCTTTACATACAGCTTCTTCCGTCTAAAAAACAAATTTATAATAAGTTTGACTTTGTAATATACATTCAACCAAAAAATATTCACAGTAAAATATGTGAGTGTCTTAGGAAAATCATTTAAGAACTAGACAGATTTAGTTTTAATTTGATTGTTAAGATTGCTCTAAAGCCTAGGTTTCCAATGTAAGCATTGAAAACTCCTAAAGGGGCATTAGGAGAATTTGTACACCCGGCAGGAGAACATAATTTAAAATAGAGTGCACTTAAAAACAATTTTTTCGTTTGTTTTAAGACTAATACATATTTAACTCTGTATACATTAAAATTTCATAAAGAAATTAATTTAATAATTTATCGAGAAAAGAACCATGGTTTTATGGAATTATAGTAAAAGCAATACTTTGCTTGAATCTCACTAAAAAGTTCATTAATTTTTTTTGTATGCTTTTCAAAATTCAATATATTTACATCATGAATTTTTAACCAATAACTTTTGTATTTTTCCTTTCATCCTGAACATAAAGTTACAATAGTTTGGAATTTTAAAAATTAAATAGTAGAAAGTTATTCTACATTCTACTTAGAAGTTCACTGCAGATAATTATTTGTCTTTGTTAAGTGTAGAACACTTTTTTTAAATTTATAAAGCAATGAGTCTTGTCCTGAGATAAGCACTACATAAAAGGTTTTTTAAATATTTTTTTAAAGATGTCTTTCAACCCCTTCCTTCTCACTCCCGTGAAAATGACAGGGTGAGATCTCCTCTCCTGTGATATTTCCGGGCTGGAGTGTTCAGTAGTAACGGGCCAATAAGAATAAAACTAATTCATTTCTTTTGCCTGGAAAACATTTTATTTCTCATTTTACACACCAGATGGCAGTACCAGGATATTTTTAAGGTTATTGTAGATAGTTAGTTTATTTTAAACTAGATGTCAGCACTAATCAAATATATGTATTTGTGATATGTTATTTGTAATCTTAGCAAAGTTACTTAGTTAGGCTCTTTGTGAATACACGCTTGAGGATAATCTCAATCGTTTGATTGAAAGGCATTTTATTAGACAGATACCCCCAACTGATAAGAAACGGCAACCATCAAGAGAATGCAAAGTGTGTTGCTCCAGAAGAGATGAAAACAAAAAGAGATGTAGGAAGGAAACTCGGTACTACTGTCCAGATAGTGACGTTGGCCTCTGTATCTCATGCTTTGAAATTTATCACACAAGAAAAATGTACTAATCTTTAATAATATTATATGTAAGTTTGATAAAATTCTTTTTTAATGTTTAAAACACATATTTCTTGAATATTCCCTGCTTGCTGGAAAACCAACAAAAAGTCATAGCAACCCTGAATGTTGGCCTTTCCTAAAAATTTAATTTTTTTAAAACTTCAGGTTAAAACCAAATAAAAAATGAATATATATATATATTGCTCATACACTTATTTTAAATAATTTTCAGGGATAAAAAAATACACTTTTATGACCATTTTCTTGAAAATTACCCGATCATTAAGGGGCCAAAGAAGCTATGATTGATCAAAAGATTTAAATGCAAAAGCCCACTGCCTATATCTCCATGTCTTATGGACATCGGAATTCAGTGCATTTCTTTGAAAAATGTTATTTGTAGATAAACTACCTAACAATAATGGAAAACACTTTTAGTTTGTAATACTTTTTTGAATTCCTCAAGAAATATTAAGAGAACCAGTTTGTAATTTTAGAAGTGGCTAGTTCATGAAATTTTTCATACTTTGCAATAAAGTTTAAAGCTTTTAGGGGTTTCAAAGACTGACAATAAATTACAAAAGAAAACAAGTCTTTTTGAACACCCTATGCCAGAAAATTAAGCAATAAGCTTTTAACTTGTATCAATTATTTTTGTGTTACTGCATAAAATTTCGTAAACCTGGAGGAAATATTTATGGAGAATTGAACATTTTTATAACACTAATTTTTTTGCCATAACTTTAAAAATATTCAGTAAAATGAAACAAATTTTTTGAAGCAATTTAAAATTAATTACAGAACTATTGTTGTAAAATTTGAAAAAAAAAAAGTGCAAGATATGAGTATTTAAAATAGTTCTTATATACTAGGCATAATTTTGTTGTAACTTTCTCATAATTTTGTAGTAAATCGTATTATAAAAAAGTCTGAATTGAATATCTCAAAATTCTTAAAAGTTTCAAGCAATTTTCTAAGTAGTTTCAGTACTTTTTAAAAGAAAGTTCAAAATGATAAGGGGTTTTCTGCAGATATAATTTTGTTTTTGCTGCCTGACATAAGGTAGTGTAATTTGCAATACTACATAACAGAATTTGTGGAAAACCCATGATTATTTTGAGCTTTCATTTAAAAAGTAGAAAAACTATTTACAAAATTGCTTGAAACTTTATACGTTCTACAGATATTTCAACCAGATTTTTCCCATTAATTGCCAAATACGATTCACAACAAAATTATGAAAAGATTTTAAAATTTTTCCGTGCACGCACAGTACAAAAGAACGTTAAATAATCATATCTTGCAAATTTTATAAAAAAATAGAATAATAATTTTGTAATTACATTTTAAATGTTAGAGTAAAAAAAAAATTTTTTTTAACAGAAAGAAAAATTAGTTAACTCATTACGATTACTTATAACAGCAATAATAGTTTTTTAACTATGAACTGATCTGTTATAAAAGGTAATTGACAAATGAAATGAAAAATGCTAATATCTTTTAAGCAGATAGGTATGCTTACAGAAATATCTGAGGCACACTGGGTACTGGTTATCGAATGAATTTAATCTTATCACTTTTGAAATTATAAAAAAATTACTTCTCTAATAAAATAAATTTCTGTGGAAGTATTGTTAAAAAATTTTTGTGTGCATAAAATCTGAGAGGTCTGTGCATTAACAAGTTAATTTTTTTTTCTGACTGAAGACAATATATTTGCTTTGATTAATGCAAAAACCAGACAAGAATGTAAAATTCCTCTCCTGTCTAGTAAAAGGTGGGAGAGGAGAATATAATCTATTAATAAAAATCTATTAGGTTTTAAAATTTTAATTGACTCTTACTGAGAATTTTTAAATTTGATGAAAATACCTAGATTGAATGATACCTGTATCAAAAACAAACTCAAAACGTATCGATCAAAAAATTATATAATGCTCAGCTGTCAAGGGAAATTGAAAACTTTACTATATTTATTAATGTGTTACCACAATTTATTCTTTAGCTTTACACATAAAGATGCTAATGATTTTACCAAAAAGGAAATCCTGTACTTTCTATTTCTACCCTATATTTTCTATTTCTCTCAAATAACTGGTAATAAAACAAAATTTTTTTTTTCCATAACTTAAAATTTAACACATTTGTTATTTTAATTCTTTCTCTTTATTATGACATATATGTTAGAAGAAGAAAAAAAAGCATCTACACTATGGAGAAAAAAAAATACTTACATCTCCATAAATTTTGAATGTACAAGTAGATTCTTCTAAATCAATTCCAGTTATACCTTCCAATTTTCTAGCATGTTGAATATTTGATCCGTGCGCTCCAATGGCGAGACCCATTAAATCTTCACGTACTTGAAATTCTTGAACATGCCCAGAAGTAGAATTAAGCTTTGTACTCTTCAAAAAAAAAAATCTGGAATTATTAACTTTCAAAAAAATTTTATTTCACGTTACGCAAAAATAATTTTTATGTATGCACATTACTTTTCTGCCACATAATTACACTTATGCTTAAAGTTTTATATACTTTGCTATTATAAATACAGCAGCTACCATTAATAGAATCTCTGGGTTATGAAAGCCTTTTTTTAATACAAAATTCACCTCAAAACTGCTTATCTTTCATTAATACTTAATTTTGCAATTTTCTTAATTTTTGAATATTGTGACAATCAATTTTAATTATATTAATCTCATAATTGCAAAAAATATAAACACCATATGCATATCCTGAATTTGCTTCAAATGAGAAGAATGCCGAAAAAATAATTAAAATCTGATGCTTCCAACAAGTTGAAACTATGCAACTTCTTAAGGAAAAAAGAACTTACAATAAAGAAAATCTAATATTAATTAAAAAATAATGTCAGTCCACATAAAAATAAAATAAAATGAAGGCAGAAAAGAGGAATAAGAAGGAAGTCTTTATCTCATCAAACTGTGACAAAGTGAATGCACAATTGATATTGTCAATTTTTCAAAACATGTTACTTTAAAAGAAACAAGTAAAAGAGTAGTAAATTTTTAAGCAAAGCCAAACTATGCTTTATAGCAGTGTTTCCTAAACTTATGACTCTTGCGCACCCTTTCTAAATTTTTCGTAAGGCTGTGTACCAATAATAAAAATATTAATGAATTTTTTACTGTAAAAAAATTGCACAAAAGTTAAAAATCAGAATTGGCTGTTGACACCACTAATTATTAACTGTTAACTCTGCAAAAAATAGCCAATAGAAAAGTACGTAATCGTAAATTTTCATGGCTAGCTTTGTTTTCAAATAAAATGTTTTGATATTTTCGTTTGTTGCAAGGTATCTCGCATAAGAACGCGTACTCGTGGGGGTACGTGTACCACACTTTGGGAAACATTGCTTTATAGGAACAGAAATTTATTAGCAAATTCAGATTTTCCATTCTTTTTCTTAGGCACTATAGCCCGTTACTGGCAAAGGTCGTCTCAGTCAGTTAACCACTATTTGATGCTATATTTCTCCACCTGTTAGTCCATTAACCACTACTTTACTCTATCTTACCATCTTGTTCTAGGTCTTCTTTCTTTTCCCCTCTGGTGCTTGGAAGGTTACTTTTTTAACAGGATTTTCATTGATATATCAGAATACATGTCCCAGCCACCTTATTTGAATAATCTTGATCATTTTTACTATGTTAGGTTCTTTGTATTTTGAATGTAATTCAGGGCTGTAACAAATTTTCCACATCCTGTTTTCTCTTACAACACCAAACATTTTTCTCAAGATTTTTTTCTTGAAAGCATTCGCTACTATATAAAAGTATTGGTCTCACTAGAGTCTTACACAACTGTGTTATTGTTTCACAACTTGTGCATTTAGATTTAAACTGGTTTCTCAATCCATGATAACATCTGTAAGCCAAGTTGATTCCATTTATGATTTCAATTTTCATGTCATTATTATTTACTATTGCGCCTAAATATTCAAATTGACTGGTTGAAACTCATATTCATTAATTTTCAGTGGTTTTTGTGACTCTGTTTGTCACTGCCATAATTAAGTTTTTTTTATTGTTGACTGACAACTCCATGTTTTTTGCAGCTGCCACGAGTGCACAGAAAGTCTTTGTGTTCTGCGTTTGTATACCAGAGTCTCTAATTGCCTTCTCTAGTGCTACTTCTAATTCTTTCTATTACCATAAATTATTTAACTGCTTTCAATGCTATCGAAAACATTTCTAGTGAAATCATCAAATGAAGTAAAGTAATATTTAGCAGAAAAATAATTTGAGAAAGCATAACGAGAAATGGTCTCACTTATCTACTGTAAACATAAAATAATTTTAGTGTTTATCATAATGAAAAATTTAAGTTGTTAAATAAAGAGGTCTTTAAGAAAAAGGAAAACTCTATTACTCAACCTGAATAATTACGTTCTAGACCAGGCAAAACCATTAAATTTACCTCCAACTGCCGTGCTGCTTCTTCTGTTCGACTTAATAGTAACACTTTTTGTCGTAAATTACGAAAATGCATTTCACTTAGCATATTGGCTCTTGTTTTAGCAGTTTCCGATTTAGCCTAGGAAAAAAAATCTGAATAAGAAAAAGTAATATGCCTCTATTATTTAAGTGTAATAAGTAGATACTCATATACAATTGTGTAAAAATGCAGCAAAAATGTTTGCAGATATTTATAATTAAAGAAAACATTTGTATCAGTAAATAGGATCCCACTCACTCCATTAAAACTTAGAATGATTTATAAAGAAGTACAATTAAAAATGTGATGAAAATTAAATAAACAATGTATTTTAAACATGAAGTTTTACTTTGAAATTAAAGGGGGAATCAGCTGCCAGATTTATAGAATTATCAATCATGAAATCATATACGTTTAATTTTAGTAATTAAACTTTCAAACAGAAAGTTTCATTAAGCCATGCCTTCATGTAAGGGATCGATGGCAACAATAATTATTGGAAAGTAATGTTCTTATCTTTGAGATTTTTTTTAAATTACAACTTAACAATAGAACTTCCCCCAAATATTTTGTCAGCACTAAGTAGTCTATACAACAAAAATATTAATGTAATACAGGCAATATGCATATAAGATGTAAATAATATATATACCAATCAATAAATAAATTTTTTTTTTGGTTCTTGACACACAGGGTCTCTGATATAATGGTTTTATCCATAGTTAAAACCATCAAAAATTGACAGATGTCAAAAAGTAGTTTACCCTGCAACAAACCATTAAATATTTTTCAATTAATATGAGTGGTGGTAATTCAAGTTAAACAAATGAACTACACAATATTTGTATCATTCCAATTCAAATGGTTTCTTACAAACAAGTTTTAAATTATTTTTTTTATTTTGAACAATAGAAAAACCTATTGGTAAATAGTGTATTTTACAGTTTTTCACACTATATCTCAATAACATAAATAACATTAACTGACTTACTAACTGAAATATTTGAAGATTCAATGCAACTATGCAAAAGCTTTTTTCTTTTTTAAAGGTTACAACTCTAATTTCATTATTTAAAACTAATTCAATACTAAAAATCTATGAGAGTAACAGAAATGAGTAAAGAAAAAAAAGATAAACATTTACAATTATCTGTAAGCAATTTTTTGTAGAGTCCCAGCGACATATAGCAGCACCAATAGCCTTTTTAAATTCCTTGTGAGCAGATTCCATTTTTGAACTAGATAAATAGATGTAAATTAATATAAAACTAAAATATCTATTAATGTGTAATAAAAAATAGTTATAAAACTTACTATTCTCTAAGATCTTCAGGAACCTCAAGTTCAAAAATCTTAAAAGTGCTTTTAGTAATTGGTGGACTGAAAAACAATAAGAATTTGAAGTCTAGAGTGCACAGTGTACACAAATTAAATAGCACTCACTTAAAATACTAAAAATAATAATTTATCAATTTCTTTCCTTTTTTTTTAAAATCTGAATTTACATTAAAAAAATATAGGTGTAGTGAATAGTCAATATTTCTTTTTCACTCAGAATTTGAATGGTGTTGCTAATGAAAATAAAGTTTTGCTGTCTCTAATGTGTGCTGCAACAAAAGGATTCAAGACTACTATATGTAGAGTGGTTAAAAAACTGAATAAAGTAAGGAAATTTTTAGTTTTATTTTATCAAAGTTTTCAAATTTTTGTAAAAATGTATTTAAAAAACAAAAATAAAAGAATAAAAAGAGAGAAACATGATTTGCCTGGTTTGCACAGATCTGCTCATGGTAAAAATATAAACTAACAAGGAAGTGTTAGTAAATTCACTAATATACAAATAACTCAATGATTTTATATAGAATTTAATTACTTTAGTTGGGTATCCATTTCTTTAAAATCTAATTTTGAAAGAGTTTATTTGTTTTTTGGATAAATAAACAGTACTACATATTCCTTTAATTCTATTAATTTCATTAAAAATGGTATTTAAATAGAAGTTTTTAGAAATTTTAGAATTCCAAGTAATTAGTTTATGTATATTAAACTTGAAGTCATTACTTTTATTGTATAAATCAACAAAGCATATATTTTCTTTTTTTAATACCCAAATCCAAAAAATTAAAATTAATATTATCATCATGATTACGAAACAAAATAAATCCAAAAAATTAAAATTAATATTATCATCATGATTACGAAACAAAATTAATTCCTCGGGGTAAATAATATTTAACAAAATTGTATAATCTTGCTTCGCAATAATGATGATAATATTAACTTTAATCTTTTGGCTATAGATATATAATTTTATTACGGCAAATAATATATTTTAGTTCACCTTCCTGCGCTTATTAAAAATCAATTCTCTGCAAAGTTATGCATATTTCAAATGATTCTGCTTTAAATATTATTTCAAACTGAAAAGCAAAGAATGACCCAATAAGAGGTTAGAAGGCAGAGTTTGTCTTGCACGCACATGCAATAGTAGCTCAGATATTTTACAGTTTTTAGATAGACTTATTAACTTTTATCTGGTGTCATAATATGTTAATCTTAAAAAACCCTTTTCTTATAGTTGAATACCCTTGGTAATTTCAAACAAAAAGTAAAATTTTGAATTTTCTTTTTTAAAACCTTTCTGTAATTGGATAAGTTTAAAAATAATTTATACAGGTCAAAATCTATATTAATTGAAAAAAAATAATAATAATAAAATTGATAAATTAAACTGTAATAGGCTTGATGTATATGAACTTCTCCAACCAGTTTTCTGCAATTTCCAACATTTCTTTGGCACATGCTCTAGCATTGATTATATATATTTGTTGCTTTGTTTCAAATATAAAAATTATATTTCTCTTTTGGGTCATTCCCTGGCAAATCATATAGGATTTTACAAAAATGGCACCCAGCATCTCAGATTTTGGTGAAAATTTGTACACTTATAGATTTTTTTGTGCTGATTTCAAAAATATTAACTATATTTAAATCGGTTAAGGGGTTTAAAAGTTATAAGTATTTATATTTTTGCCAAAATGGCACATTTGCCGCCATTTTGATTCATACATCAAAGGCTATTAATGATTGTAACCCACTTTATATTTGTCATAGAGCAATAATTTTTTATTTTATTTTGTTCAGAATAAAGAAATCTGCCATTTAAACACTTTTTTTGCAAATAAGTATCGTACTTATTTAGTAAGTAGGTCTGTTTTGCAGTTTTTTGATCAACGGAGTTGAGAAACTTCAGGAGATGATTTCTGGCAACTCGCCCCCTTCAATTTCAAAAAAATTTTATTCAAAGATAGTTAGTTGAAAGTGCAAATTAACATCTGATTTAAAAATTTTGATGGGCGGTTCACTCACTTTTTAAAAAAAAAAAAATTTCTTATGAATTATTATGCATTAAAAGTACTAGTAGTTTGACACTTTATAGTCCTTAATTGTAACTAGAGTATAATAAAATGATCCAAAAAAAATGTGAATGGTAGAAAAATATGTAAAATAAAGTAATCTTTTATTAAATTATTTCTTACTTCTTTCTTTGAGCCCCCCCCACCCTCAAAAAAGAAAAGAAAGGAAAAAAATTTGAGAATGAACAAAATTTCACCTTTTTTGTAAATAAATTTATCCAGAATCATATAGCTTTGGTAAATGAGAGGGATCAAAATCTAAAAAAATATAAATATAAGTTTCTCTGAAAGAGTAGAGGGCAATACCAAATAATAAAAAGCCATTAATTTTTTTTTTTTAATTGAACTAACTTTGATCTTTATGTCTTTATGGAAGGAGAAAATTAGAATTTTTGATGTTGAATAATATCAGAGAGAAAATCCTTGTACACTTTAATTTAATTCAAACATTTTGTTTAATTCTGAAATGTAATTGAAGATCAAATTATGAATATTTACAGTTAATTTTATCCTTTCATTTGTCACACTGATTGTTATGGTAATGAGATACTCCTAAAAAATTTCATTTGAAACACTAATAAAGTTCAAACTATTTATTTTAATTATATTGAAATGAAATAATTTTATATTACCAACTACAGTGGAAAGTTGCGTATCCGGAATCGGCGGGACTTTCCGAAGTCCGGATAATCGATTTTTCCGTATAATAGACCCCCAAGGTAAACAGAGATTAAAATGATCTGAATCTAAGAAGCAGAAATTAAATAACATTATTTTTCGGGCAATAATGTTTTAGTATTAGAATGATATCTAATCAATCAAAAACAAAATATTTAAAAAAAANAAAAAAATTTTGCAATATATAACTTAAATGTGTAAAGTAAAATTAAAGTTTCGTTTTTGCAACGTGATGTGATTAAAGGAGTAGGCAATTTTCAAATAAAATGTTTCTTTTCTAGCAACTTCAACGAACTATTAAGATTTTGCATCAGACTAGGTTTAAAAAATTTCATTAGAAATATACTAAATTACAAAGAAGTGCAAGGGGCAAAACGTCTAATGTAAAAAATCATAGAACTAGTTTCAAAATTACACATGACTTTGCTTACGAAATAACCTTTTCTTAATATTGTCGACGATATGACTCCTGTAGACGAAATGACCTTGTCTACGAAATGAACCTGTCGACGAAATGACCATGTCGATGAAATGACCCTGTCAATGAAACGACCCTGTCAATGAAATGACTCAGTCGATGAAATTACCCGTTCGACAAGATGACCCGGTCGATAAGATGACCATGTCGACGAAACAACCCTGTCGAGGAAATGACCCTGTCGATTAAATGACCATGTTGACGAAATGAACCATTCAATGTAATAACCTTGGTAAGGAGAGGGGAAGATGAAGAAATGTTTGTTTATTTTGATTGTTAAAAAGTGTCCAGGAAATTGACCCTTCCGGAAAAGGGACGTCCGGATATGGGACGTTACACTGTATTTGATAATTTGTATGCTTTTATTTCATCACAAACACCTGCAGGCCTTTTTTATTCTGTAAGACTTTCATTATAATTATATACATCCAATTTTTTTTAAAAAAAAACTTCTGAATAGAAAAAAAAATACTGAAAACTATTGACACATTTCATCCCTATCTTCCCAAAAAAGAAATTTGACTAATCAGAATGTATCATCTGCCAGAACATTTCTGTTTGTTTCAATCAGAATTGAGTGTCATGTAAAATTTATTTTCCTCCAAATCAATAAAATTGTATTTTCATTCTTTTAGAACAGAATAGAAATAAATAAGTTTTCGAAAGTTTTAAATGTATCAATTTGATATTTAAAAAAGTTTTATTATGAAAACCCAAGTATTATGTAGTATTGGATTAATTTTGAAAGATTTTAAGTGCAGTTTAAACTCGCAGAAGATTTTAGAACTTTCTTCTGGGAATATAGAACTTATTTCATTAAGGAGCAATTTAGATTTTAAGGAAAGTTCAACTATATGCCTCATACATAAGGAGTATCTCTTGTATCAGTATGAAATACATATAGATATAAAAAAAATTGTGACTTATTTAATTCTCCTTCCAATAAGACCAAGAAAGTCTCATTTCATGTCATAAGTGTAGATCAGGCTAAAACATACAGAGCAAAATTACAAATTTCAGCAATCCCTGGCCAGAAATTGTGCTCCTGATGCAGAAATTGTGTTTGTCTTGTTCATTCTAAATTTTTTCCCGTTCTTTTCTTCTTTAAGGGGGGGGNTTGTGGGGGGGGGAGGGCTCAAAGAAAGAAGAAAGAAATAATTTAATAAATGATTACTTTATTTTACATATTTTTCTACCATTCACATTTTTTTACATCGTTTTATTATACTCTAGTTACAATTAAGGACTATAAATCATCAAACTACCAGTACTTTTAATGCATAATAATTCATAAGAAAAATATTTTTTTTTTAAAAAGTGAGTGAACCACCCAACAAAATTTTTATATCAGATGTTAGTTTGCACTTTCAACTATCTCTGAATAAAATATTTTTGAAATTGAAGGGGACGAGTTGCCAGAAATCATCTCCTGAAGTTACTCAACTCCGTTGATCAAAAAACTGCAAAACAGATCCATTTACTAAATAAGTAAGATAGTTATTTGCAAAAAAAAAAAGTGTTTAAATGACAGATTACTTTATTCTAAACAAAATAAAAAAAAATTATTGCTCTATGACTAATATAAGGTGAGTTACAATCATTAATAGCCTTTGATGTATGAATCAAAATGGCGGCAAATGCGCCATTTTGGCAAAAATATAAATGCTTATAACCTTTGAACCCTTAAACCGATGAAAATATAATTGATATTTTTGAAATCCGCACAAAAAATTCTATAAGTGTACAAATTTTCATCAAAATCTGAGATGGTGGGTGCCATGGCTGGATGAACTGACATGGAATGACCCTTTTCGTAATTTCTGTTTTTATTTAAGGATTTTGTATAAGAACACTAGATTTATTGATTTCAGTTCATTGCTAATTTGTTCTTTCTACTTCCAACAATTTAAATTTTGTTTGCTTTATACTGTAAACTTTCACTATCAAATGATTCTTTTATTTTAAATTTCCATTTAGTTAGTAACCAAAATCATATGTATTAGTGAGTTAAAATCCATATTGGGAAAAGCAAAATTAAATTTAAATCGAAGATGAATGCTTCATGTTGATAAGCAGTAAATAGTTATTTAATGCTTAAGTATCAGATTGTTCAATTACAAACACATTCTGATGCGTGAATGAGTTCGGCAAAACACAGTTGATGGTAGTTAATTTACGTCGCACTAGAGCTGCACAATGCTATTGGCGATGGTCTGGGAAACATCCCTGAGGATGATCCGAAGACAAGCCATCACAATTTTGAGCTCTGCAGAGGGAATGACACCCCCGCTTCGGTTAATTAGTGTAGACAATATTTTAAGTAACAAAAACATATGTTGTCTCATTAAACATAACTTTCGTTGATGGATTCGAATATCCAACCCAATGAGGGTTGCGGATCCCAAGTTTTGACATCTTTCAGTTAATTTTACTCTATGCACATTTCACATTTGTGTTGGTTTGCCTTTAATAATCCCATACTTATCTAATCTATGTGACAATATTAATATTCTTTCAACATTTTTTTCATGAAAAATTTCTTATTTTCAAAGATTAATAAAAATTAAAGACAGAAAGCTATATTTAGTATAATTTATATTAATGTTAAAGTATTTAAACCTTTCAACTCCAAAGATCTTATTCAAGCATTCTTGGCAAATTTTGCCTTTTTTTCCACGCTAGTGTGTTTTATTAAAAAGCTGAAATAATTTACAAAAAAAAGAAAAAATCTGTCAAGTGAAACTTGTCAGAGGACCACAAAGGTTTAACTTATATTCTAGAATTTGATGATAAAAATATGAACACTTCTCATATATTTTTCAAAAATACAATAAGATATAAAAACAATTTACTTGGTATTTTTTGTCCTAAGCCGGTCACTAGGAACGATTTCTGTACAACTTGTTTCCCAACCAACATATTCAACAACATGAAAGCCCCCTTTACTCATTTTAACAATAGCTTTCCACCAGCCACAAGCCTGCTCATTTGAGCGAGACAGTACCTGTAAATATGAAAAATTATGTGTAATGAACTATTCACAAAATTTATAGTCTAAGGTTAAATCATGTAGCTATTATACATGAAAAAATTTTGTTCACTAATGCAACAAGCTCTTAATTTTTGTTTTTTATGTAGCATTTAAAACCAGGCAATTTAGAAGTCTTGGTAAGTTTCAGAACAAAAATCCTCTGGCAAGGCAGCAGGCACTGCATAATTATTACACCATCTGCAGATCCCAGAATTAAAAAAAAAAAAAAAAAAAAGTGATTTAAATAAACTGCTACCAAGAGATCTTTTTTTATTTATAATTGCTGAAAAAAACAGAGATCAAGTGAAAAAGATCTCTGTTCTATCATCATTAATGAACAAAAAGAGAACATATTACCTTGTTTAAATTTGACAAATTAAATTGTGTGCAGTACTTCGACCATGCAGTTGTAGAAACTTAAATTTATTGTAAAAGTTTTGATTATTGGTTCTGGCCCAATTTTAATCATAAAAATAAATTTATAAGGGATGAAATTATATTTTAGGAGCGATTGTGAGCCCAACTCAAAAATCCTGAAAATGTATTTAGTAAAATCATTAATGATGCATTTCAAAAAATTTATGTTATAAATTTAAATCATTGATATTTTCACAACATGAAATTCTAAATAAATTATATACAGTATAATTTAAATTAATAATTATGCATAAGATTACTGTTATCTCTAATCACATTTACCATTTTTCAAAAAAATTATTTATAAATGAAAGAGAAGAGAAGTATAAATTCTAGTTCAAATATTTTTAAATATAATATACAAGAATTTTTATACACAAATGCAATTGATAATTTTTTGAAACATCTGAACCATGAATTTCTCTAAATTTCCAGATTGCGGTTTGCAAAAAATCCAGAAATCTGGATTTTTTTCTGGAGCACAATCTCTGATATTTGAAAAAGGGGAAAATTTATTTTTTCTTTAAAAATTGTTAAATTTTTTTACCTTAATTTTAAAATACTCTTCTTACAGTTTTGAATCTGAGGTAAACTGATAATCTAATTTCATATTTAGCAGCTTTAACAATGAATTTATATCATTCTCCTTTATAAGTAAGTATTATTGTGTAAGTTTCAAAGTAAATTTAAAAAAAGTATACATTTCTTATTCATCTTACATTTAGTGAATGAAGTTTAATGTTATTAGTAAGGACGAAACGAAAAAACCAGTATCTCAGCGTTTACTAGAGCAGACTGAATCATCTACTGCTTCAAAGAAGTTACCATTTTAAAAAGAATTATGTGATGTTTTTTATCAGCAAATATTCCTTTAGACAAACTAAACAATGCTAAATTTCGCCAGTTTTTAGAAAAACACACAGGACATGTTGTGCCTGATAAATCCACATTGTGTAAAAACTACATTGAAACTTTGGACAAAATTAGAGCCCTTGTGAAAAATAAGAAAATATTTGTGTCAATTGATGAAACAAATGACGTTGAGGCTCGTTTAATTGCAAATGTTATAATTGGGACATTTGAATCCAATTGTCCCTGCCAAATATTTTTATTTAATGCAGATGAACTAGAGAAAGTGAATCACTCTTCTATTTGTCAATAATTTGACAAATCCCTAAATCTATTATGGCCCAATGGTCTACAACACAATGATGTTCTTCTGTTTTTATCTGATGCTGCACCATATACGGTCAAAGCTGGAAAGTCAATTAAGGGATTTTGATATGATTGTCAATTAAGATTTTATCCAAAACTAGTTCATGTTACTTGTCTTGCACAAGCACTTCATCGTGTTGCCGAAGAGATCCGTGTAAATTACACTGATGTAGACAGTCTGGTGTCAAATGTGAAAAAGATTTTTCTGAAAGTCCCATATCGTCAAGAATGTTTCAAAACATTTGCTCTTAGTCTAGCTTTGCCCCCTAAACCAGCAATCACACGATAGAGTACCTGGTTGGATGCATACTTATACTACAGTGAAAATTTTAAGATAGTGAAGTCCATCGTCAGTAGTTTTGATTCAGAAGATGCTGCGTCAATTAAGATAGCACAAAACATGTTGGCCTCTGATAAAATCGAAGGAAACTTAGCATTTATCAAGTCTAACTTTGCTATTGTGTCCTCGACAATTACAAGCTTGGAGAAACAAGAATTGGAAATTTGCGATGCAATAAAATATATTGAGGTAGTGAGTCAAGTGTTGCAAAAAGAAAGGGAAAAGATAGGACAAAGTGTAGCAGCTAAATTGAACGAAGTTTTGAAGAACACTGGCTTCCAAACAATGAAGAAAATCTATAGGATATTAACAGGTGAAGCAACATCTTTTCAAATTGAAGAATTGTCAGTGAGACCATCTTTTTCAAGTATGCACCAATAACATCAGTAGACGTTGAAAGAAGCTTCTCCAGATATAAAAATTTACTTTCAGACAAGAGACGCTCGTTTATATTTCAAAATATCCAAAAAACATTTAATAATCCAATGTAATTCTGATATTTAGTAATATTATGAGATGGAAGTTGTTATATTCATTAAAGTTTCAATACAAAATGAAAATGTTTTGGAGTCAATATATTTTCCTGTTTTTTGTTGTTATTTTAGGATATAAAACATATTTTTTAAACTTTAATGAACGTAGAACAAGTATTGCATTGCTTTATATTTTTTTAAATGACTCATAGTAATTTTAAACAGTAAAACATTGTTTAATATTTTTACTTAATTTAAGTCATGTCATAAAGCATTTTTAGCACTTTTTAAGGGCATTAGTTGAGATATTTTAAGTCATCAAAATCCGGGCTCTAGTTATTAGTTTAACATATTTTAATTCCAACCTTTACTTTAAGATTTTTAAGAATATTTTGATTGGTTAAATTATTAGATTTAAAGTTATTAGTAATAATAAAAAAAATTCTCTTTCAGCTATCAGGAATTTCAGGATTACATTAGAATAATAATTTTCCTTTTAATTACTGTAATTATGATATTTTGATTTAAAATATTTTAAAGACATTCGGCTGATATTGAAGCCCGCATAAATAGGCCTATGAGGTGAAATTTAGGATTTTATGTTCCTCAAGTATATGGATGGCAGCACCTTTTTAAAATTTTTACTCATTGAATGTTTTTCTGTTTTATTTTATCAAGATTTACAAAAAAGGTTTCAGCACAGGAATTATTTCAAAAGTTTTTATAATGATTTGGCAATTTATATTTTATTTTGATGCGGCTATTCTAACTGTAACTTTATTTGTTTTTCTAATTTGTGGGCGTCTCTTTATTATGTCTTAGTTTGTGTACTTTTAGTCATTATTTAGACTTACTTCGTGATTATTTGTCATTTATTTTTCTTTGCATTTACATTTAAATTTTTCTAATTGCTTTTTCTTAATTGATTTTACATTATGGGGCTTCAGGGCACTGTCAGTCTTTGGTTTCACTACTGATAACAGAAAGGCTCCTGTGTGTTAGCAGGCAGTGCGTCCCCTGATGAAGTGCTGTCCTGCTAATACAGATCTTAGAATCTTTATAATTTTTGTTGTTTTCTGCTAAAATTGTTTTTCTGACTTCAAAAATTAAAATAAAACAACTTTGGATTTAGCTACTTTAAGTGTTTTCTATTTTGATTTATTATTTTAAATGTTACTTTTTTTGTCTTTCTGAATTTGTAAATTAATTTCATTCTTTGATTAGATCTTTCTGAAATATGTAAGTAATAGAACAGCTCAAATATGAATAATTGGGATTTCCTACCTCAACTTCTTGCCCTTCAGCATATTCCTTCTTTTCATCATCTTTTACAGAAGGAGGGAGTCTCACACGTCTGAATGGAAACTTTGTTTGAGGTTGCCAACTGAAAACATTTAATTTTTATTACTTGCACGAAGCATATACAAATTTTTAAAACTATACAGAATAAAATTTTTACCTTACCTCACTAGATAGGAAGTCAATATCATAAATACTTAAAACCATGATATAAATAATAATCCACAAGTCATTTATTACTCTTAAGTATAAAATAGATATAATTTTCTATTCACAAGCTTAGTTTATATATATATAAAAATTATACTGCACACTATTCTTATTTTGAAGATTTATAAAGGTACATGGGCCAGTAATAGTATTGAATAAAACAAAATCTTAACATTCTGGCATGGATAAAATATATTAAAATATTAATGCCCAAAATATCTTTATTTTAAAATGTTATTAAATGTTTCTAGATTTTGGTAAGTTTGTGCTTCAGGATATAGCATGAAGGAAAATTTAGCAATGTAGTACTACTGGATCAAATATATTAATTATTATTAGTATTTTGAATTTTAATCTATTATTACAGCATGCAGTATGAATTCAGAAATTCAGAGTGCATGGGGGTAAGAGTGGAAGAGAGCCTCTGAAAATGCTGGATTTTGGATGTTACTTTTGAACCAATAGAGATGAAGTGACAGGCTCAAAAAGAACTGAGTGTCATGGAAAATTTATTTTCTTTCAAATCAATTAAATTGTATTTCCATTCATTCAGAACAGAAACAAGCAAGTTTTCAAAAATTTTAAATGTATCAATTTGGCATTTAAAAAAAAGTTTTATTATGGAAACCCAAGTATCACGTAGTATTGGATTAACTTTGAAAGATTTAAAAAAAGTTTAAACTCACAGAAGATTTTAGAACTTTCTTCTGAGAATATAGAACTTATTTCATTAAGGAGCAAGTTAGATTTTAAGGAAAGTTCAACTATATGCCTCATACGTAAGGAGTATCTCTTGCATCAGTATGAAATATATATATATATAAAAACTGTGAATTTAATTCTCCTTCCAATAAGACCAAGAAAGTCTCCCTTCATGTCATAAGTGTATACCAGGCTAAAACATATAGAGCTAAATTGCAAATTTCAGCAATCCCTGGCCAGAAATTGTGTTCGTAAAGCAGAAATTGTGTTTGTATTGTTCATTCTCAAATTTTTTCCTTTCCTTTTTCTCACATTTTTTATATCACTTTATTATACTCTAGTTACAATTACAATTAAGGACTATAAATCATTGAACTACCAGTACTTTTAATTCATAAGAAAAATATTTTTTTTTTTTAAAAAGTGAGTGAACCGCCCATCAAAATTCTTATATCAGATGTTAGTTTGCACTTTCAACTATCTGCGAGTTGCCAGAAATCAGCTCCTGAAGTTACTCAACTCCGTTGATCAAAAAACTGCAAAACAGACCCAATTAATAAATAAGTAATATACTTATTTGCAAAAAAAATGTGTTTAAATGACAGATTATTTTATTCAGAACAAAATATAAAAAAAATTATTGCTCTATAACCAATATAAGGTGAGTTACAATCATTAATAGTCTTTGATGTATGAAACAAAATGGCGACAAAAGTGCCGTTTTAGCAAAAATATAAATGCTTATAACTTTTAAACCCCTAAACCGATTTAAATATAATGGATATTTTTGAAATCAGCACAAAAAATTCTATAAGTGTACAAATTTTAATCAAAATCTGAGATGGTGGGTGCCATGGCTGGATGAACTGACATCGAATGACCCATAGGGGAGAAACATTCTTCCCATTTCCTTAACCGCCAGTGGGTTAAATAATGAATGATGTTAAAAAGTTTCCACAATGGTGACAAATCTTTCATGTTCATGTATGTTATGATCTTAACAATTGTTTTTCAGGCGGTATTTGGTAAGAATCTTCGATAATAGTCGGTATACTAGTATTACGACATGTACATTTGACATGCTTGATTCCCACTCAGTTATCGTTACAGATTTCCATACGATTTTTAAAATAAATTTCTTCTCAAATACGATATTACAATACAGGAGTTTTTGCACATGTCCAATAATAAATTAGAATGGTTATTCAAAATTATTTATCGTAACATTTCATTTTGATTCATTAATCTTAGTTAATAATTGTGACTTAAAACTAAAAAGCTCATTTCACAGGACAGTACAGAACCCGTTATCCAGAAATCAGAAAACCGGAAAACCAAGAAACCGGAACGAAATTCAATAAATTTTCCCGCTATTTTTTCAAAAAAATTTTTTTTTCCTCGTAAGATTTTAGGATTTTTCTTTCTTTTTTGAAAAATGTTTACCCTAACATCATTTTGTAAATAATTATTTGTGTATTACTTCGTTTTTTCAAGATTATTTCCAAATATTTTTTTATTTAAGTTGGGTTTAACGATAAAAAAAAACGACTTTTTGTAGCGATTCAGAAAACCGGAAAAATCAGTTATCCCGGAATAGCGATGGTCCCGATCGTTCCGGATAATCGGTTTCCTACTGTATAAGTGATTTTGGGGACTAATTCTTCTTTCTTGTAAAAAAAAAAAAAAAACACAGCTAAATTGCCAAAAACGGTAGGCACAGTTCATTTTTTCATCCATTATTAATCACTAAAAAATTATCATAGATAAGAACTATCTTTGTTGAAATCAAAAGATTTTATTTTAAATAAACAATTATAAACCTCAGGTTTTCTTTTTTTTGAAAAAACCTTTAATGATAATAATATTAAATTGATTTTTAATCATGAACAAAAATGATTCTATATCCAAATACTTTGCTAGGTAATTAGGGGTCTGTCTAGGTTTTTCTGAAAGGTACCTATTTTGTGAAAATTTAGACATAAATTGAGAAAAATTAAAAATTATATTAAAAACTCAACACCAAAACATGGTAAAAATATAGATTTATCATTTTTTAAGGGATACAAAAATAAAATTTTGAGAAAAAATATTTTGTGAAACTACCGTTTTTCTTACAGTTGAATTTGTGAAACTACAGTTTTACCTAAAATTAAATTTGCGACGGTACCGCTAAACGGTAGCAAATTCGGCCTGGACAGACCCCTGGTAATCAAGCCAAAAAAAAAATCACTTATTCTAGTTTAGAATATACTAGGTAGAGTCAAAAGTTTCTCTCCATATTTCTTGAACCTTATAAATTTAAAGAGAGCTACATAAATTATATAAGTTGCAGCTCAAAAAAGCAGCTATATTAATCAAAACTATAAAACAGAATAACAATATAAAACAGAAAAAACTCAAAATTTAATTAAAAAAATACAAACCAATTTGTCTGAAAGATATAAAATCGCACAATTTTTCTACACTTCCTTGTTTTATATTTGCAATTAACTATTTAAATTAAATCAGACACAGATAAATTTTATTATAATTATTTTTTTCTTTCACAAATTCCTTTCGTGTATCCACCCACAATTAAATTAAAAATCACTCTTCAAAATATAATGAGTAAAATCTAAAAATCCTTCTTAAGATCATCATTTAAAGAAGTTGTAATTTATTTACTTACTCATTTTCAAATGCTACAGAGACACCATCTTCATGAAGATCAACCATGAAAGCCTAGACAAATTTAAAAAGATTAAATAGTAATATCGTGAAACATAAAAAAATACTTTCAAATTTTAAATTGAAGAAATCCTAATAAATTAAGACCTTCAGACATTTGGTCAAGCCTTGCACACTTATCGCTTTCAGAATATAGTTCAGAATGCAATTATTTCATTAAAAAATAAATTTCTTCTATTTTTCATATTTTACAGAATATTCAACTAGTACAGAATAATTCAACAGCCGAATAGCAACAATTTTTGGTATAAAAATCATTAATAAATACTATTAATGATATTATCTATAGATAAATAAGTATAAATAGTTTTATTGAAAGTTTAGTCATTGAAGTTATTGAAAAATAATCACAACTTAGCTATGTAATTGGTATGAGGTAAAGGAAAACAATACTAAAATAAAAATACATAAGATAAAGATAATTAGATATTAAGATAATTTGAAATATTTAAGATAAATAAAAAACTGAAAAATCGCTATTTAAAAAGTTATGGTGAAATTAAAAAAAAGAAAAAGGGAAATAGAACAAAATCACCTTAATTCTTAAAACAAAACTTCAATGCTAAAAACAATATTTTATGGAATAAAATTATCCATAAAACAATGAGAGATATTATCTATAAAAAAAAAGCAGTCCTATCATAAATATGCCCATAAAAAAGATTATATACAAAAGCACAACACACACAAAAAAAACTATTTTATTTTGAAAGAAAATGTTTAAAGTTAAATATCTCAGTTTTCGTAATACCATATTTTTAAAAAAAAGTTTACATTAGTAATTAAGTACAATATAAATCCTCCCAAATACATTGTCATAATAAAAAGGTTTATAGAAATAAGTGTTTTTTAAAAAAGAAAAAACTACATAGAAACCAAAACAAAAATTGTTCTTAATTTTTAAACAAAAAAAAAAAATATTAAAATCATTATATGTCCCAATTTCACTTTATCGTATCTTTTGAAAAAAGTGACCATAAAAGAATAACATTTTCAGGGTTCATACGAAAAAATAAGGAATTTTTTTCCTGACTTTTCCAGGTAGAATGCATAAAATTACAGGTGCTTAAAAAAAAAAATTCACAAAATTTATATTTAATTAGAATGTAAATTAGAACTTTAACAGAACTATAAACGTGACTGAAATGGATAATAAGTCAAAGGGAATTTACTAGGCATTGCCCAGTAGGCATAAAAAAAAATATCTGGGTCGAATACTGAATAACGACCAAATATTTGTTACATCCCTAATAATAACTTATAAAAATTTAGAGATTTTTAAAATAATATGAAAGTAGAGAAAATGCATAAAAATTTCCTCTTCCTAAAATAAACAAAAAAATGTTCTATAAAACTCATTTTTAAATAAATATTGAATCAGAAAGAAAAAGCTGTTTTTAAAGCAAACGGAATACACTATGACTAATTGAGGTTAAAATGAACATTTCCCCCGCAATTTTAATTAAAAAAATATATAAAAGCAGACAGAAATTTAGCATTTTTAAATAATATATACATAATGCACATTCTTTTTTTTATCTACACAATAGGTATTATAAATACAGTACAATAGGGAACCGATTATCCTGAACAATCGGGACCATCGCTATTCCGGATAACTGATTTTTCCGGTTTTCTGAATGGCTACAAAAAGCCGTTTTCTTATTGTTAAACTAAACTGAAAAAAAAATAATAAAATATTTGGAAATAATTTTAAAAAGAAAAAACGATGAAGTAATACACTAATGATTATTTTCAAAATGATGGTAAGGTAAACATCTTTCAAAAAAGAAAGAAAAATCTTATGAGGAAAAAAAAAAAAAATTTTAAAAATGGCGGGAAAATTTATTGAATTTCGTTCCGGTTTTTTGGTTTTCCGATTTCCGGGTAACGGGTTCTGTACTGTATATTTAAATTTAAGAAATTTAGATAATAGAATAACAAACTTCATTAAATTTTAAGTATTTTTTACTATTTGTTTATTATCATAACGATTCTTGTATTTCCTCATTAATTTGCAATTTTAAGCGGCAAATTACTATATACCTAGTCAAAAGCTAAAAAAAAATTTTTTTAATTAATTATTGTATACTACAGTATTTCCATAGCTTGACAAAATGCTTTTCCTAGTGGTAGCAATAACAGCAATATTTTAATAAGTTAAAAGTAAAAGAAATTTGTCCTCCACTAGCACTGAGACATTATTGCGTACACATTAAATACTTTAAATTTATTTATGATATTTAAATATTATCTTAGTATAAATCTACAAAATAGATTTAAACACCTTATAAACATGTATTACGATGGTAATTAATGTAATGTCGTATTTTATACAAATATTATGTGAAGTCAATTCTTGGTAGATCCAAGGCGCGACTAGGCTTTATTTTTTGGGACCCATTTTCGTAAAAACTGGAAATTATTTTGGCGAAAATTTCTTAATGAAAAACATTTAGTTTTCACTATCACTATGTTTTATGATTTATATCAAAACTATTTCAAAATAAGTAGACACACTAACTTGTTAAATAGTTTCTTTCCACCAAGTATTTCATTATGTACCCTTGATCCCCACGGACATTCATCAAAATGTTCACCTAATTCCTTAATGACCTTAGCCACTGATGCTTGACTTCAACTATCTACTGGGAATGGTGTCTTTACGCAGACAGTCCAATGTGAGACAAATTTTAGTCAATAACTAGCATTACTTATCATAATTTTTCAATTAAATTCACCTTATTAACTTAAAAACTATTAGAAGCATGCAAATGGACTAGTGATATGTGTTTGAATTAATAATATTTTGTAACCAGCCCTTTGGACTAGTGACTTATTTTTTAAAACTTTTACAACTGAATAAATAATCAGCAATTTACGTTTACCGACCCTATGCTAGTTTTAATCAGTTTTTGCCATTGTCCAGCCAAAAACCCTTTATGCCCTACCCTGCTTCTGTGTAAAAACAATTAATCTTTTCCTCCTTCACAGTAAACATTTATAATAGAGTAATAATTAAAAGCATGACATGTTAGGTTTACCTTCTTCATAATAAATTAATTTGCATGAAAAATCAAAGCTTCCACAACATATCTTAAGATCAAATACAAATCCAATGTATCTAAATACAAGTCCATGATTCAACTTTTAATAATTTATATTGTTTGCAAGATACTTATTTAAAAAATTTGAATTGTTACGTCCAACATAGTTAAACTTTGATAAGTATTCTAAGAAACATTTTATCATAAAAAGCCATATAAGCGCACTTCTCCTTTACAATACATATATTTATGAGAGTATCAGAAAAAAGATGGCACAATCTTACCTCACCTTCATAATAACTTTAGGGCTTAAAATAGGAAAGGACACTAAACTAATAAGGGGTTAAAGGTCCCAAAATAAATTTTTAGAAGTAATAAATGGCCAATTTAGTTTGCTTAAATAAAACTCCATGATTATAGTTTCTAAAGAGCTCTATCTTTTCTCTCTACCAATTACTTTAATAAAATTCTATATCTTTGTAAAATAATGAAAAATTCTATATGAGAATTTAAAGTAGCAATTGAGTGTAAAAAGAATTACTTAAACGGCGTAAAAGAAATCTAACAAGTTGTTAGTGCCCTCTCCGAAATAATTAAATCTGCAGCTGATAAAACAATTCTTTTTTGCTGAAAACCGGCAGAATATTATATGATTTAGAATAACTTATCACCAGACGCTAAATAATTATACTTACCTTTAAAAACTGCCAGTCAAAATTATTATATTGATTAAAATTTTAATGAAATATGAGGTAAATTAAATTTATAAACAAAATACTAAATAAATACATGAAGCTATTTAAAAATGAATGGAATTTAAATCAATCAGAACATGCGGAGTTTCGGTTCTTGTTTACATATAAATGTCATAAAATAGGGAAGCTGCTGGCTAAAAAAGAACTATAAACATACTAAGTCAGCAAACAATACAATTATGATGTTCTGATTTCTTATACATCATATTTACCTTATAATAAGCACCATTCTCACCACAAACTTCAATAGCCAGATCCTCCATTTTGTCTATTCCAATGCTTGTTTGCTTCTTTGAGGTATCAAAAATCAGGACTGAACTTTTTGAGTAACATACGGTTAAAGTTAAAAATCAATATGGAATATGAAGCTTATTTAGAAGGCATTATCTTCAAAAACCTGCATTCTCGCTGCCTGGGACTCGCGCACGCGTATCCGCTAACTGTTGGGTGAGAGCAGAGTGGGGGACTACTTTGATCAGATGCGGTCTTCGTTAAACTGTTTTAGCAAAAAATGCTCGACTTCGCGTGCATATTGTCAGGTTACCAAAGCTAGAGAGTCATCAGCTGTGCAGACGATCAAAATTAGGAGGAAGAATTCACATTAAATATGATTGCCCTAGACGGTCGTGCGGATGCTCAGAAACGACATCTAGAACTGCTCACGCATTCACGAATTGCATTAATTTGCAATCGCTTACGTATATGCAGTGAGAATGTTCCATGACATATATCTTCGGTTCATACTCGGGGATATTTTCCAGACCTTAGCCAATAGTCCATTGTGAAACTTCAGTGAGACGGTAGGTAGGTACGTCGCACTAAAACGACGGCTATTTGCGACGGTCTCGGAAACATTTGAAACATGGTCTGAAGACATGTCATCTCCATTTTCGTGATAGTGCGCTCTAAGGGAGGTCCTATAGGGTCTGACATGGATGCAAAAAAAAAAAGAAAAAAAAAAAAAGAAAAAGAAACAGCTCTTGTAAATTCAAAAATGCAAACGAAAGCTTCATTGGACAGTTCGCGGATTCGCTAAATATATTTCGAGGATATTTCACTAAATTGGTTCCCATTTGCATCTCTGAATTCACATACGCGAATTTTTGGCGTCCATTGTGAAAGATCCCAAAATAAAATACTGCAGTCGTTCAATCAATCATTCGTGCTCGTGCCTAGGGCAATCGAATGCAATGTAAATAACCTGTCATACTAACCCTATAATTCGGCAATCGTCTGAAAATGATTGGCAAGATAATTTTATCGCCAAGAATTTGGTTGTTTACTCTTCTGGAATTTTAGCAGGCAAGTGAGAAATAGAAAGGGGCCCATTCATACCTTCGGTCCCTACGCAGACTGATCCAAATGGCCACCCACCCGCACACAGACCGCAACCAGTGATGCTTGCCTACGGCCTTCGGTGATCTGCTGTGAACCCTGTCTTAACAATCAATCCACTGCGGGACGAAGCGACTCTTAAGACACTTACGATTCGCATTTACGAGTCGCATTTACGATTGATCGCATATATTAAAATCATATACAGTAAGAATGATCCATAAGATGAAGAAAGGAAATCGCTTGTCTACGTTGTTACCAAAGCATGTATAATACGTGGATCTGCCAACCTGAGGATAGTCGTAAGCCATCCCCTCTGAAATTTTAGTCAGAAGCGAATAATGTCTTTCACCCTTTCTGAAAGTTAGACACCTTTTAAAGTAAATGCAAACAAAGCTTGCAAGTATTGAAAGTATATTGTTTATTTTCCCCCTTGCAAAGAGGAAAGTAAAGAATAAATGTTTTATTCTGACTAATATGCAATGCAAAACGAATTAGGGCGATTCCATGAAAAGGGGAAAAGCATCGTATAATTCAAATAAGAATAATGTTGTTATTTTGGATTTTTTCTGAATTAGAAAGGCTTGAAGTTTGATAATTTATAATTTTTTTTTTTTTTTTTGAGAATCCAGTTTTTTAGTGTTGGTAGCCCATTGAACATTGGCATGTGCTTGTTCTGATTTGGGTGAAGAACATGGTCACATTCTGAAAATCAGTAAGTTAACATTATCTTCCTTTCAAAATGTTCCAAAGAATAAATATTGTTTATTACACTTAGTAGAAATATTGTGCAGTGTTAAAATAACTTTTTGTTGTTAAATTCACTTAATTATATAAATTTCAACTAAACATTAATGCATGTAACGTAAGTTACCAAAAACTAGGAAAAGTTTTTATGTGTAAAAAAAACATGTGATACAAAAGTAAGAATATTATTTTTTCTTTCTTACAGGCTAGCACTAAATAAATAGCAATAGTTTTATTTTTAAATATTATTTATTTATTGTTTTGTGCACTATTCAATATATGTAACGTAAGTTACTGACTTGCATGTAATGTAAGTTGCCAATGTGAAATGAGTTCATTTCTTTTGAAAATTGGCATATAAACTAAACAAGATGTATCCAGTTACAATAACAAAGTTTAAATAAATAAACACTGCCTTAGGATATTAATTTTATTGAAAATCTTTGCATTAAGTCATTTTATTGGGTGTCGGCATTCATTTGTTTTCAAAGTTGGACGAAATCTCTCTACAAGCTAATGGTGACAAGAAGAAAATACAAGCACGTTATCTTCTTCATTCAGTTCGAGAAATGTACCAAATGTTTATGGAAAAAAAATCCAGAATGCAAAATTGGAAAACTAAGTCCTTTGAGCTCCGTCCACAGCATATCTTGCTTAGTAACAAACCTCCTAGAAATTTTTGTCTTTGTAAGTATCACGAAAACTTCGGATAAGCTACTGAAGCCTTCAGAAAATTCCATAATGTTCCGTCTTACGCAATTCTTCAGAAAATTATTTTTATGTTCAGAAAAAAACAGATGAGTGCTGGTCTGGAGAATGTGTGCCGGTGGATATCAAAAATGTTCACATCTGGTCAGATAGGCCAAGGAGTCAGTTCAAGAATCGATATATAACTCCGGTCTTACCTGTTTTTGAGATTCATCATGGAAAAATATTGATGTGGAATTATTTTGCCACGTCACACGGCAAGAGTCCTGTTGATGGGACAGGTGGATCTATTAAAGGAAGTGTAAGAAATGTCGTATTGAAAAGAAAACATATTGTCATCAATGCCTCTGAGTTTGGGGCAGCAACACAAGAGCATTGAACAAAAATAAATATGGTAGAAATCACACCAGAAGATATTAAGAAGCGTCAGAAAAAGTTAACCTGTCTAGTCTATTCTCAAAAGCTCCACAGATTAAAAACATTAAGCAGATCCACCATTTAAAAGTTCAAGAAGGTATACCATCAGAAGGGTTTCTTAAGTGAAAGATGTTGAAAAACAAAATGATGAATCCAAAATAAAAGCTGGAAATTGGTATATGGTTAGATACGAGGAAATGTTATATTCTGGTGTGGTAATGTCTGTTGAAGAGCAAGAATTTAAAGTCAATGTAATGGCTGCTGTGGGAATCTATTGGAAATGACCAGGAAAAAGAGATGAAATATTCTACCAGAAAGAAAGCATGGTGAAAAGAATTGAGCCCCTATACTAGTTAATAACAGAGGACATTATAAGTGTGCATAGTAATGTCTGAATCAAGTGTGTAAATCAAAAGTTTTTTGAGTTTACTTCATGTACACTTTTTCTCCCTTGCACTATACTGTTTAAATATGTTAATTTGCATTTGTACATTACTGGAGTAAAAGTTTGATGCAAAGGGAATTTCGTAACGTAAGTTACTGTAACGTAAGTTACCCATTTAAAAAATTATATTTAATTTAACTTTTGAAATAAAATCTTAAATCTAGGCAAAATAAATATTTAAGCATGTCAGTAAAATGATACATATAATCTTAATCAATTAACATTTGTATAAGAACAGAATTTTGCCTTCAAGCATATTGCAAATTTATGCCATTCCTTTTTCAGTAACGTAAGTTACCACACTAGCTTTAGGGTTTTACACTGCTTAAATTGAAAAATATTAATTATTCTAATTAGGTTCCTTTTGGTTTTGATTGTAATTTTAAGAAATCACTTTATTTTAGATTGTGCATTAGTATTATTTGTTTGCTTCTAAGTTCTCAGTGCAATAAAGTTAATCAGTGCAATAAGTGCTCCGTGAATGTAACGTATGTTACCATGGAATAGCCCATTATATTACATTTTATTATTATAAGATTCTTTCTTGATGTAATTCATATTTTAAAAAATATACTTAAGTAACTAAAAGAATCAAAGAGATAAATTTTTTTACTCTATCATTTTTTCACTGCAGTTTAACTCTATTAAAAGTATATTCCCTGGGAATTTATTAAGAGAAAAAGAAGAGAGATCATTCATCCTCCACACTTAGCATATTTTTGCTTGTAAGACAAAATTAGTTCTGCATAATCGTTACTAGGACTGGGCTATAAATCGATATATCGCGACATATCGATTTAACGCCTATATCGGCAAATCAATACAGCAACTTTCATTCCAAGCGATGCATCAGAAATCTGATTTATGCCGTCGNTTCATTGCTTTAGGTAAACTGCTTTTGTCATTTTACTCCACTTTTTACAACACACATTCGTTTATCATGATCTCTATATCAAAAGTTATTCAGGGTGTTAACTTATTTATTTTGTGTAGTGTACACCATGAGTTAATTCAGAAAATATTTTTTATAAATTATTGTTTTAAAATTTAAAAATATGATTTTCTTTTAAATTTCATTGCTCAGAAACTGTTTGAAGGATTTCATTTAAATTTCGTATTTCAGTAATTGAAACTACACTATTTAAGACGATACAAAATTTTTGCACCATACAATTCAATTTTTTTCGACTTTTAATAAGTAATAAGCAGTTACATAAGGTTCTATCTTAGGTTAACAATATCTTCTTAGGTTAAGCAATTTTCGTTAATTATTTGCAAAATTTTTCTATTCCTTTAAAATGTTTCCGAGAATGGAGGTATACGCAGAAAGGGAAATTATACTTAAGATACTTACTTAAATTTTCTACAGCTCCCCTGACTAAAGTATAGGGACCAGTTATCCCCCCCTCCTCATATTTTGATAGTCAAAATCCAAATCCATAGAAAGAAAGTATGTTTATTCAGTGAACTCAACAATATCTGCATAACAATTACTTTTTTTTCTTATTCGTTTTTTTCTAAAAGTCAGCATGATTTTTTACCCGATTCAGAAATTGAAAAAACGTTTTTTCAATTTAATAATTTTTTTACGCCAGTTGAGATAAAAATAAAAGAACTGTAGCTTTCTTTTTAGATGTACCGTCATTCGGGGCTACTTTGTGCAGTATTTCGCAGCTTTTGAACTTTGACATGTAAAAA